CAAAATTTCCATAGTTGAATTACAATTCCGGTTTTCGATTAAAGAAAAAAATATGATTCTTCCACTAAAGACTTTTTTTAAATTTCAATCTAAGTAAAGATTATTATATTTTTAAAACAAGGGGCGTTTCTAATTTTGTCAAAGCTTAAAACAATTTTATCTTTTCTATGTTGCTATATCTCTAGAGTCAGTCAATAATTTATAGGAGGAACTACTTAACTCAATCACTTGCTATATTACGTTCATGAAATATATCAATATCATACAAAAATAAAAAAAATAAACAAATTGAAATTAACAATAATAAAAACAAAAAATCAATTGAATAATATATATATATTGTAAAAAAAATGGATAAAACTTGAGAAGACTAGTTTCTTAAGAAATAATCCGTTTTTATCAATTTCAATTCTCATTTAACAACATTATACTTTCATTTGTCAAGATTATAGTTAAATAAAAATAAAAATTCGAATGAATTTAAACTCTAGGTGATCTCAAACATATCATATCCTCGTTCTAACATTTTAATTGTATAAGATTTCAATTTTTTTTCTAAGGAATTCTTGTTTAAGATTTTTTCGTAAATTGAGGAGAGTTAAATAAAATGGATAGATTTGATGTGCTAGCGAGATTATATTAGAGAGACAATCGAGAGATGGTTGATGTTATTGTTAATTTTTTTTTATCATATTGGGTTCTAACTTAAACTTATTATTGTGTTGTCAAAAGATTAGTAGATGGTGTTGATGAAAAAAATAAAAATTATCATGTTTATTTTACTAAAAAAATGTCTTTATCCCAAAAATTCTTATTTATTTTTTTTTTTACAATTTCTTGAACGCTAATTTTACATAAAAATGATATCGTTCACTTATTAGGTTTATGAGATTATTAATTAATGCAATTCAATTATCTAGGATAGAAATATCCATTAAATGCATGGAATTTTTTCAAAAAGTAAATCAGATAAAAAAGTTATGTAAAATTCACATGAATTAATTCTAAGAACTAAACCTCCCGTATTTGGAGCGTATAGTACGATAAAACGTTGGCAACTTTGTCTTATCTGTTTTGGATGTAATAGTTGCTGACATATAAATGCCATCTGTCTGAAGAAGATTTGAATATTCCATTTCACCTCATGGAGTTTCTTTTTAAAGTATACATTACACGTTGGCTTTGGCTATTAGCCTGTTAAAATAAAGACAAGTATGTCAATTGGGTTCAAGATCCGCCATTGATGCTAAGGATTTATTACTCTTCCTCTTTTTAGGAAGTCAAACACTCTATCGAGGTTTATTGGTCGATGGGCCTTAATCGGACCCATTACAGATTTGGTTCTTCTTCCCTTCGGTCACCATTCAAGTCTTTGTTTCCCAGAACTATTGGTGCCATGAAGTAAGTTGTTTCTTTACTGCCCGATTGGTTTTCATTAAGAAATCTATCCATGCATCTTCTGGTTTCGTTTCTTTAGTATTCTGTTCAGTGATTGTTTTGTTCAAAGTCAAAGTTGATAGTTATTAATGTTTTCTTTGTGTTTAGAAAGAGTTTAATGGGGTTTTGTTAGAATCCTTTAGAGATCATAGAGTAGAGTTTCATTCTTGATTATGTTTCAAGTGGTGACTAAGGTCTGGCGGTAGGTCAAACGATGCATGTTAGCAATTTTGTTTGGTTATTTCTTCAAAGGCTTGGTTTTGTTATTTTCCTCTGATGAATCGGTTTTGTTCATGGATAGTGGGATATGGATCCAATATTGCGACATAGGGTTGGCATTTGGAGACTGGTTTTCAGAAAATTTGGAGTTCAATAGTCCCTTTTTTTTTAATAAATAGAGGGGTTGCTGTTTTGTAGTTAATTGTTGAAGGAAATTAATACCTTTGTATAATTTGTGACTAACAAGTGGTTAGTAATAAGTTTTCCCAGTTTTGGCCAATAGGTATCTGTTAGGTTGCTTATTTATAGACTCTTGTTGGTGGTGGTGTTTCTGCATCTCTAATATTTGTGGGTGCAGAGAAATTGTTGTTCTCTATGATTGCATCCTGCATGTCTCTTTCTGATTTTGATTTAGGTCTCGAGGTTAATCACAACTCCTTCACATACTTGGATTCGTTCTATGTTATTGCAAGTTTGCTTGTCCTTGGTTGACTCTTTGGCATCGTGTTGTGTGTCATTCTTTGGGTGTATTTGCAGAAGGTTGAGATTGTAGGAAGATTTCTAATCTTCTGTTGATGTATTCAAGATCTGTCGCTATTTATACTTGTTGAGCTTGTTAATTAGATAAACTCAGCCCGGGTTTAGAACTTTCAAAACCATTCAGATTATATATCTTAAATGAGATCAATGCCATTACATGAGTACTTGTCAAGGATGTTACAATTATAGATTTTAAATGAGTTGAATACCATTCAGAAGGCCTTCATGTTACTCAACTTCGATTCAGTATGGTCTTTGGGGCGAGTATACATCAATTGATGGGTTGTGGATTGTATATTAAGCTTGCAGACTCTCGTAGATATCAATGCTAGCACTTTCCCGTGCCTGAAGCATAACCTTTTTAAATGCGATTTTTACAGTCAATTGGAAGTCCCTTTGGAAGAGTTTTACTCAAGTGTATTGACTCTATCGTCTGTATTCTGGCAATATGTTTACTTTTCACAGAGGAAAAAAGATTTTGGGCGTTTCTCTTTCTATCTTTCTCATAAACATGGCTGCTATAATGGAGCGTGCTGATGAAAATCTCCTTCCTGCTGTTTACAAAGAAGTTAGTGAAGCTTTTAATGCTGGGCCATCTGATCTGGGGTATCTTACTTTCATAAGGAACTTTGTGCAGGGACTGTCATCACCATTGGCAGGTGTATTAGTTATAAACCATGACCGTCCCACGGTTCTTGCAATGGGAACTTTGTGCTGGGCCTTATCAACTGCTGCAGTGGGTGCAAGCCAGCATTTCATGCAAGTTGCATTCTGGAGAGCATTGAATGGCTTTGGACTGGCAATTGTAATACCAGCATTGCAATCTTTCATTGCTGATAGCTATAAGGATGGTGTGAGGGGTACTGGATTTGGATTGCTAAGCTTGGTTGGTACCTTGGGTGGTATAGGAGGTGGTGTTCTGGCAACAATTATGGCTGGTCAGCAGTATTGGGGCATACAAGGATGGCGTTTTGCCTTCATCATGATGGCATCATTGAGTTTACTAATTGGGTTTCTGGTTTTCTTATTTGTGGTTGATCCAAGGAAAAAGATAGGTATCAACCGCGACACCAGTGAGAATTTTGAAAGGTGCCTGTCACTTTCTTGAGATTATTTAGTTTTTTCACATTTTTCGCTTATTGTAATCTACATTTAATCATAATTTCATTTCAACCTAAAAATAAAAGAACAGTCTGTTGTAATTGATAACCTTCGTTTAGTTTTACTGTGTAAATTAGTGACGGGGAAGTCGATGTCTCTGCTTCTTTTGGTTTGGTAATTCAACTTCTTTTGGCTGCAGTGATGAGCTGATAGAAAAGGGAAATCCTTATGCATCATCAATTTGGACAGAGTCCTGGACAGCAACAAAAGCTGTTACAAAAGTGAAAACATTTCAGATCATTGTCCTGCAGGGAATTGTTGGCTCCCTGCCATGGACTGCAATGGTGTTTTTTACTATGTGGTTTGAACTGATTGGTAAGTACAATCCAATTTTATTTCACTCCAACTATTTTCATCAGATATACATTGAAATTGAGGATGATATGCTACCTTTGCATCATTTATCTAAATGGAGTTCCCTGACGATATTCTCCTGTTTCATAATGCAATGAGGGAGGCAATTGCTACTACTATATTAACACTTCACCTTTCATACAGTTTTTAAATGGTGTAGGGCATCTATTGCAATAGGATAATTACTCCAGAACATTCAATAATAACAGTTTGACTCTATCCCATTGTCTCATTGTGATGTCATCTTCTCAACTTTCAGGTTTCGATCATAACAAAACAGCAGTTCTCCTAACTCTCTTTGCTGTTGGGTGTGCATTGGGGTCCCTCCTTGGCGGCATAGTTGCTGATCGGATGTCACATATTTACCCCCAATCTGGCCGTATCATGTGTGCCCAGTTTAGTGCCTTCATGGGCATCCCATTCTCTTGGCTTCTCCTCAAAGTGATTCCACAATCAGTAAGCAGCTATTTCCCCTTCGCTGTTACCCTTTTCTTAACGGGCCTAACAATCAGCTGGAATGGTACTGCTGTCAATGCCCCAATTTTTGCCGAGGTGGTGCCTATAAAACACCGGACTATGATTTATGCATTTGATCGTGCTTTTGAAGGATCGTTCTCTTCTTTTGCGGCTCCGTTGGTTGGAATCCTTTCAGAGCAGATGTTTGGTTATGATTCAAAGTCTGTCGATCCAATTAAAGGTTCTATACGAGAAGCCTCTGCGCTGTCTAAAGGGCTTCTTTCAATGATGGCAATTCCATTCGGTTTGTGTTGCTTGTTCTACACTCCATTGTATAAATATTTTAAGCAAGACCGTGAAAATGCAAGAACGACGGGGGTAAAAGCAGTAGAGATCCTATAAGAAGCCTTTTCATAATTGCGACAGTACTAAATCAGGTGGATGTAACATACAACATTTTTTCATGTACCACTTTTGTCAAGGATTATTAACTTTTTTGTACATTTCACTTGAAGCATACCGACAGTGCTTGAACAGCCGTATGTAGTTGGCTGTGTGCTGGTCGTTGTTCGACCAATTTTCTTGAAGATTGACCAATTTTAGTTCTGACGAGAAATGCTTGGTAAATTAAGCTTATTTTCTTTGTTCTGTGTGTGATTTGATGCTACCTATTTAGGTACAATATACACCATTCATAAAAGCAATACGCCTCGGTTAGGAAATGGAAGAAACAGCACGTATCGGTGATGTAATTGTCACAGCTCATGAGACGATGAAATTTCAATTTTTATACTAGAAAGATTTGTCACTTGGCAGCCATATCGTAATGGCATCTAAGGGGCCGATTTTGTGACAATTTGGATGTCATTTGGTGCACTGGTATGAATCTGAACTAGCATGCAACCCAGGTGATCGAGCTGTTCTACATTGCTGTTTAACACTTGAACTAGATCATCCATCTGGATGTATTCTTGGATTTGCTGAAGACCATATCTAAGCAAGACTGAGCACTTACATGCATCCAAAATCGAGGAGCAAGTTTGTTCGTTAACCACAAGAATTGGAACAAAGACTGGTTGAAGCGGAGGTGAATGTTCGTGGTTGATCACAAATTTATCTTGGTTTATCATTGTTTCTGTTTCTTCTACCGTTATTGGTGACCCTAATCATAATTCCCATATTAAAATCCAGATAAGAATTTAAATTAACGGGCATCAACGGTCTATATAGGGATGGCACTTTGTCCCATCCTAGTCAACTCAAGATTCCCTGAGCTGACTGGGGAACAGGGCGGGCACCTCGCTCTACAATGAATTTAAATAGGGATAGTATTTGCCCCCGTCGCCCCATCCTACAATTTTCCACCCCGCCCTGCCCTGTCCAGTGTTTTTTTAAGAAATTATAATTATACCTAACATATATATAAACTCTGAGATTACAAACTAATCTTCAATGTAATGAGTAAGTTTTAGTAATCTCTAAGCAATAAAGACATACAAGAATTTATATTTTTTAATTACATTTGTTATACTTCATCAATTTAATTAAGTATATTATTTGTTCGATTGAAAATAATGTAATATATTATGAGTTGTGTTGTAAATTTATAATTGTTAAATTATTGTATTTTTTTATATGTACTATCATATTTTTGCTACAATTTAAAATATAGTATAAGATAATATGAGATAGCATGAAATAAGATGGACGTAAAAAATTAAGCAAGACACCGGTGCCCTGCGGGGATCTCCACCCCGCCCTATTGCCATTCCTATGTCTATATACGATTCCAGAAAAAAAAAGGTTTACAGGAACCCGAAGCAGATGTTTGAAAATGGTTTCTATGGTGCCGGTATTTTCATGACACGAACCTCAGATTCTAGCAAAGTGCAAGTACGTGGCCTTCCAAACCCATGCAAGTGCAATTAAGACTGCATCAACGACAGCTAAAGCAAGTCCAGTGCATAGACAAAACCATAGCCAGACCAGCTTCTTAGCTTCTTCGACTTGGGCAATAACAAGTTCCAACTTATTGTTACCAACTTGGAAACATCAACTCCGTCCACCAACAATTCTCAGGGACGAAGCTTAAACCAATTGCTGAATCCAACGAGGATTTTAATTTTTTAACCATGAACATTGGCTGATTGCTTCCAGAAAGGCTAAAGGATAACCATTAATGCTTTTCTTAAATAATCAAAGGATTTTTCACATCGATCTTCCGATACAAGTTGACACAACTTCCGAACCCCAAGTGAATCTTCCTGGTGATCAAAGTCCAAGAATGAACTACGAGAAATATTTCCATAACCAGATTTGGCAGTGAAATACTAGTTTAGCAAACCCATCATGCAAAATTTCAAAACCGTGAAAAGTTTGATAATTCGTGTTGATTCCCTAAGCAATGCAATACGCAAAGTTGATTCCCTAAGCAATGCACAAATCCTTGTCAACCCTTGCTCCACATTGAAATAAATAATATAACAAGTCAACATACAAATCGCATCCAAGAGTTACAATAGCATACAGATTATGTTTGTGGTTTCGGTTGCATGGTCTCTAAGCCCCCCAGCTCCACCCAGAAAATCAAAAAGGATGACAGAGTAATTTGCAGATAAATTTTACAACCACGGGCATGCAAGCATTGATAACATATTTGAATTGGCACTTTGTACCGCCACATAGAACTTAAATACACCGTGGAAAGAAGGTTTGCCCCACATACCCGCCAGCCATGGCCCTTCTCACATTAGATTCAAACATCTTTGGGTTATCTCTCAACACTGCAGCAGCATCATGATTAAGAGGATCCTCATAATTCGGTTCCTGAATGCAAAATTAAATGATGGAAATAGAGTAGATATAGATCGGTCAGAGATACCAAATGACTAGGAAATCAGAGATGTACTCGATAGTTTAACACACTAAATAATACCGTGAAGAGATGATATAATCCATAAATGATAGTGTTTATATTGAGGACAGGTTTCCAATCTTCTCGCAAGATATTGAGGCAGACATTTCCTTCTAAGTCAATGTTTGGATGGTAGACCTACAAGTTGGACACGATGTATAAAAGCTGTCTTAAGATACAGATCAGTAAAATGTCAAATTTTAATCATATATAAACCATTAAAACATCATGAATTAATTTGCAAAAGCAAGGTCATAATAAAATACCTTGGTCTTGCACTTAACTTTCGGTGCTTCATGCGGATAGATTGCGGAAACTTGGAAAGAGAACAAAAACGTTCCGCCTCTGCAAACACGAATGAGAAAATCAAGTTTAAGCAATCATTTCTTGAAAAGAAACGAAACAGTTTTTTAGATTCATGCAGCAAAGAAACTTATGCTCCAAGGAAAAATTTTAAAAAACAAAAGACCAAAAGAAGTTATTCAAATATATCCTAGAGACAAAAGGCTTTAGAGAAGTTCATTACAAATAATATCCTTCATCCGGCCGGATAGAAACCTCAAAGTTCATAAGCTCGTCCTTGCCATTGGGGAACGTCATGGTGCATGATTTAGGTAGGTTCAGCTCAGAAATATCTGCCACAAATGATGTAATGTAGGAAAAGAGTAAGAAAGTCCATAAGATACCACCACATAAGAACTGCTTCTAACTTCCAAGATTATCTATTTTATAGTGTTACTTGAAGAAGACAACTAGAACCAACTTAAGCAATAAGAAATCTTCGGTTTATAAACTAGTTCAGGATCGTGTTTGTTACTTTAACAAATTCATGTATAGCTTTCATCAGCTTTCATCTGTTGTTCTATCCCAGTTATGCAAACAAGACCATGCCAAATTTCAACAACACACAACCCCACCCCCGCCCCCCTGTCAAAAAAAAAAAAAGTACATAAAGCAAGATTAATATATGGGAAAACAAATGAATCATCCCAATACCCCTCCACAAGGGGACATACATGATTTTGATCTCTAAATAGCTTCCCATTTTGATCAAAATACATACAGCAGCAGGAAGACTAACCTTGGTACAATTACTCATCAAAAAAAGATACCATAATATGCAATATTCTCAGATGTCTTAAACTCGTATAAAAGTTACACTCTCAGTTCACAAACTGAACTGCAGGATTTTCTTGTTTTTTTTTTCTTGGGCTGAATGGAAGGATGCAAGGTGCATTGTAACCATCGCCTACTATATCCTACCACAAATAGGCAGAACTGATTTTCTACAAGTCAATTAGTCAAACCCATGAACTCCCTCTTGATCTCTCACAAGAGAGTTAACACACCAAGTAAAAGGGTCCAGTGAGAAGTGCAAGAGGACTGAATGGAAGATCAATTTATGTGCTATGTTTACAGGTTTCTCTGAACCAGTGAGTTGCCTAAGACATTACAATAGAGCTTGCAACTTTCAAATCAATCACAAGACCTCTTTCTTAACCCAAGATGAGACAGAAAAATCCTTTCTATGCAGGAGAAATCATCTAATTGATCTATTACCATCAATCTCCCTCTCCTTGTACATCAAAGTTACAAAATTTATTACGGCATTGTTAACTTACTTGGGTTGAGTAACATTTTTAAAACTAGCAAGTAAACTCAACGATAGGACACGTCTTTATCATCAACAACTTAAACGAGTGAAATTAAAACAGAACAGTGCAATTACTAACTACAAGAGAGAGACAAACCCTTATGAAGACGCAATTCTCCAGCAGATTGCTTCTTGATCGGCACACCACCATTAGCATTTTCAGCAAGTTCTCTCTGCTTTTCCTTCACTTTAAATAGCCGAATCATAGCTCCTAACATTGAAAAAGAACAACACTAATCAGCCAGCAACACCCTTTGGATTTTCACAAAGATCATGTGCATCAACATTCTTAAAAACATTTACTGACCTAAAAACAACACAAATCACAATCGCACACAAAACCATTAACCAATCAATCAAAAAAGACAAATACCCACTTAAATAAACTTAGGATTTGCTCTAAACACAAAAAAGAACCCCCCCCCCCCCCCAAAAAAAAAAAAAAAAATCAAGAACTCATGATTCTCTAATCATTTACTGATTCAACAATCAGAAATTCATTTCTGTCAAGTTCAACTAGATCGCAATCTTTTATATTCAAGTCTAAAAACTACCCAAAAAATGAAAAAAAAAAAAAAAAAAGGTGTTACCAATATAACCAAAAAATAAAAAAAGATCCAAACCTTCAAACTTACAATCACACATAAAAATAAAAATAAATAAAAATAAAAACTGAATATAACAAAAACAAAATACCTACAGAAAATCCAGAAATCAAAACGCCGAAATCGATAACCGTTAGAAAACAAAATCTATAATGAGAGAGAATAAAGATAGATAGGCATGGATATCAAAAGGTACCTTATCCGCTCGAGGAAATTCCACAGAGAGAAAAAGAAGAAAAAGTTTTTGCGTGTTCTGATTGATTGATTGATTGATTTACGAGCAAGTGAGAGAAGAGAAAGGGCTTTTTATAAAATGAAAGGAAAGGGGAATTTCTCTGTTGCAGAGCACACACAGATTTGGCTATGCAAATTATTTACTAGTAGTTAACGTGGGACCCTCCCTGGCTGGGCCCCATGCTTCGTTCTTCTATTGGTACAAATGCACGAAAATAAATAAAGTACATGCTTACCCAAAAGTCCTCTAACTTTATAAATCATTTCAACTAAGTTCTGTAACATCAAAATTAAGCAATTTTACTCTCAATGTGCTCCTATACCTAGAAAAATTTTATAATACTCAAGAAATAACTAGTGTTATATACAATAATTACTTTATAAATCTATTTTGAGAAGAGAGATAGACACAAAAAAAAGAGAAATATGAGAGAAAGAAAATTAAAAAAATTGAGCGAACGTAAAAATTTTCTTATCACTTTTGGTGGATCCAGATGAAATTTTCTTTTCTTTTTTTGTCTTTATTTCTCTCTTCAAAGTAAGTCCATAAAGTAATTACTGTATATGTCACTAGTTATTCCTTAAGTATTATAAAATTCCTTCCTATATTTATATCCATCAAAAGTATTGATAAAATCAAAGATTTATATGCTTTTTTGCACATCATATTTGTGTAAAATAAAAAAAAATGACAATACTAAGTGGTGAAATAAATATTCATAAAAAAATTTCTTTGTCCCAACTTCTTTTTAAATCTAAAACCAAGATGATGTGAAGAGAAATTAAGTTATTTTTTAATGTAAAATAAAATGACAATCGTAAGTGGTAAAATAAATTATTTTATAGAAATAATTTTGTATGAAACACTTTCTAAGAGAATTTAAGAAACTCGTTAAATCTACATAATTTTATAGATTTCAGTGAAAACAATTATGTTTGTAATGATGTTTCTTTCTTTCTTTTTTTTTTTTTTTTTGTGCAAGGTGATAATGTCGATTAAAATTTGATAGTTTTAGAATAATATTGTTTAATCTGTGAAGTTTAAGGACTTAATTGTAGTTGGGGACTGGATAATGGTTTTCTTGTGAAAATGAAAACCAGCGCCTGTGCTTCCTGCCTGCGGCCCACTGTAGCGTAGATGTATTGTAATGAGTGGATAAGTGGAGAAGACATATAAAGATGGAAAAGAGATGGAATTTTTTTTTAATTATTATTATTCGTAAATTGTTACCCGTAACCATAAAAAAGATGGAAAAACAATGTACGTTTCATTAAAGCTATTTTTAGTTGTTTTATATGAAAGTTTACCCAGATTTTGCACCTTAGTCCTTATTTCTTAAATCATTTTGTTTTGGTATCGAGTTTCATTTGTATTACGTTTTAGTTTGTCACTATAGAGAGGAGAGAGAAACAAAGGAAGGAGAGAGAATGGTGCAGCAAGGTTTATTTCGATCCCTTTAACTTTGGACCCTAGCTTCAATTTGTCTTTGTTTTTGTTTTGAGAAGAGTTTATTTACGAGGTTACAAGTCGTAAGATGATTAAAAGAGATAAATTAAAATCTTAAAAATTTTTGAGTTTTTTTAGTTTGATTTGGATTTTTATATATTTTATGTGGATTAAAATAGATTTTAAGGTTTTAAATAAATTTATTTATCTTATTTATGTGATTTTGAAGTATTTTTTGAACAAAAATAACAATGAATTTGGCTTTAAAGAGATCGAAAATTAAAACCTCGTTTTTAAACAACATGTTTAGCCAATTAAATCTGCCAAAAATTACAAACGAACGACGTGTCGTTTATTGTGCAACAAGTGGATGATGTTTCGTCTGTTTTATTTTTCTTTCCTTTTCTTAGAGCTGGCTTGGTTCTCCAAACCGAAATGCGCGAGCTGGTTCTCCAAGTCCAAGCGCCCCTGTGCCCCAACTCAATTTTTCTTCGTTTTTTCAGTAATTTATTTTGTTTTTGGGATTTTTAGACGAAAATCATGAAAGATCGACCATTATTTTTTGGATTTCACATGTAACTTGACAAGAAAAAAAATAATTTATTTTTATATTTAAAAATAAACATATATTTTGAATTATATTACTCTTATTATTTAAAAATATTCCTTTAGTTTGTCATTTTTTATAAAGATTACCATTCAATTAATTTTTTATTGTTATTTTGTTTAAATTTTAGGTATTGATAAATATGATTTATTCTTCTCTATGTATGAATTTTTTAATAAAATTCGAGAATATAATTATTTTTTCTTTTAAAAAATAAATTTATATAATTTATATGATGAATTTTTAGAATTTTAAAATGATAGTAGCATAATTATACATATATTGTAAGTTATTTGAAAAACTCTTTTAATTGTTAGATTAAATTTACAAAATAAGTTTTTAATTAAGAATCTATTGATTTTTTAATTTTCTTTTTAGAGTGTTACAAGTTTTTGGTTAAGATTCGAGATGAAGAAGAATAAATCATTTTTTTAGCATAAAATTAATGAAAAACATAATGAATAATTAGTCAAACACAAAATTTTGATTAAAAAAACATAAAATTAATTTATTTTTTTTTTACTTTTGATTTGATATATTTTTGTGGGCCTATAAAAGCTATCCACAATGCAACGAGAGTAAAAAAACCAAGTATAAAACTAAAATTGGAAGGGTTGTTACTAGTCAAAATAAACAAGTAACCTTCCACACATAAAAAATAAAAAATAAAAACATTATTTTTGCATGAATAACAAAACAAGTTCGTTTTAATTAATTTTTAGTTTGGTGCTCTTAGTTTCATTATTCTAAAAAAATAGGATGGTGGTTGGAGAAATGTAAGAGGAGAAGAAAGTTATCAAAACACAAGTTTTCGATTTAAAATCAAATAGTTGTAACCTCTTTCGATAAAAATAAACCTTTCAAGTTTATTAAAGGCATTTATAAACGTTACAATGGTTGAAAAAACTAGATTTGAAGCACTATATAGGTATTGATTTTGAAAAATGATCGGATGATTTGTTGTTTAAAAGGATATTGAAATGAATTTCTCGATTAAAAATAGGTTTATGGAGTCTCTAAGGTGTTTTCATCTAAAAATAGCTAGAAGATAAAGTTTTTAGAGAAATCTAAGGAATAGTAACATTTCGATTATCGGATGACGCGTCATCCTCATGTTTATTTATTTATTTATTTATTAGTTAAGGCTATGCTTGGTGCAATGGTTTAGGTGCACACAAGCTTATTGCCACGGACTTGGTCTTTTCTCAAATTCTCACGTGACACTTGACTCACTTATTCCCTAAGCTAAGCCAATTCAACCTATCTTCCATGTAAGTTATAAAAGCAACAACGATGCACATAAGAGATATAAAAACTCTTTGTATTGATCTCTCTAAAACTTATAACTCTTTTTCAACTCTTTGATTACACTCGCTTGGATTAGATGCTTTGGAAAAATGAAGGCCTCTCTTATTTGTAGTCCTCCACCTTCTCGGTAGATGACTAGGATATATTCGATCTAATAACTATAAATAATTCTCTAGAATTCTCTTACCAATATATTTATAAAGAATTATCTAGACATGTATAAGCTAGAATAATAAGGGACTCTCTAGAATTCTCCATGACATTTCTAGATTTCTATTAGACACCCTAAAGGCTTATTTATTGTTTCATAATTTTCTAGAGGCTCGGAGTTATCTAGCATTCCCAATTGATTTTTTAAAAAACTCTCTTTCGTGTAGGTCGTAACATTCTCCCTCATATAATTTGGCAACGTCTTCGGTACACCTACATTATACTCTTCGACCTTTCATGTGAATTGCCACAAGGTTTTAACGAGTTCCCAACTAGCCTCGCATTTTGATAATCCCTTTCATTTCACATAATACTCCTTTCTTCGTGGTACTTTACGGCATCTAATTATGTGATCATCAAGTATGACATCAATTTCTTTGTCATACTAGTCGACCATTACCGTAGATGCCCTATGATAAACTCCTCGGATTGGATCCTCCTCATCCACATGATATGGCATCGGCATGCTAGCATGAAACATTGGATGAATCTTCTAACTCTAAGCGCTAGAAAACTTTTCTCACTTTGTTCATTACCTCTAATGGCCCTTTATGTCGACTTATGAAGCCTTTGTATACCTTGTAAAACATCTTATATTTTTGTGGTAGCAACTTCACCATCATTTTATCACTCTATTGGAATGTAAAGTCTCTTCGTTTCTTTTTAGCCCATTTTTCATCTTCTTGACAACCCTTTTCAAATATATTCGTGTGAAGTATGCCTGCTGCTTGTCATCTTTTTGGCTAATAAATATGCAATCATACTATTTTTTGGTATTTTTCACCAAGCACCATCGTATGTGAAGCAAGAGGTCGCTGGCCTATCATAATCTCAAATGGACTTTTATCATGACTCATTTTTTTATAAGTTGTAAGAGAATTAGGTAACATCCAACGAACTTAGCATAATCTCATTGGTTGGCACTCACAAAGTCACTAAAGGATGTCTCAAATCAAGTTTGATGTAGAATCGAGCTTTTTTCCAATTGATCGAATAAGTCAACTATCAACGAAATTAGATACTTATTTTTCATCAAGACCTTATTTAATACTCGATAGTCCACACATATTCTCAACGATCAATTGTGCATTTTTTAGAACAACACGAATGAGTCATAAGGTGACTTGAAGGGTTGTGTTTATCCAACCTCCAACATAGCCTTCGGTTTCTTTCTCAATTCCTTCAACATAAGAGGAGTCATACGATAAGGTGTTATAGTCGATAGTTTGACACCCGATACCAACTCTATTTGGTGATCGATCTTTTTTAGGCAAGTAACTTCTTAGGCGGCTACGATGGCATTGCATCATTAAATTCGACCAAAACATTGATAATCTCTTTGGGCATCTCTCGCACCCTCATCATCCACTAACTCATCTTCTATCAACATTGTCAAGTAGGTGACTTCCCTTTTCTTGAAACTTTTCTTCACTTTCATAGCCAAAAGATGCTTCATTTTCAATCTAGCATAAGCTTTGGTCGACACCATGCACAACGTCTCTTCCTTCATAATCACCATTTGCTCCAAGTGAGGTGTAGGCTCGACTTTTGCTTATTTGAAAAACTTCATGCTTAGCACAACCTTGAAGTTATCTACTACAATAATTGTGAAATCCAGCATTCCCTTTCATATGCTTATGTTAAGGCTTTCTCTATGTGATATGCCACTAATAGGCTTTAGAGAAGCATTCATTGTCTTTATACTACTTGACAATTTGGTCACCCCTAACCAAGTCTCTTGGCCTCATCCTCGAATATAAAGTTATGTGTGGCACTCGTGTCTAGTATAGCGAATGCGGCCTTTGCCATTCACGTCTATATCCATATACATAAGCTTATCTTTCGATGGCATCTTAAATGAGGGCTTGACGTTCAAGGCATTGAAAAGCCCGAATGACCCCATATGTTTCTCATGCTTAGGAGTAGATTCCTTCTCGTTCATCAAAGAATCGAAGGTTTGTTGCTTCGTACACTCTCTCTATTGATACAGACTCGTTGTAGAAGTAGTAACCCGTGAGCTTGAATTCTCTCTTATCGTATTCCTTGAAAAAACCTTTAGATTTGTTTGTTTTGTCTTACTTATCCTTATACCCTTTCGTCTTATAGGCCCCCTCCACCTTTACCATTGAAGTTTTTCTTTGGTTTGAAGGGTTCTATTTTTTTACTCAATTAAGAATTCAGCTATGGCCACGGCTTTAGTTAAGGTCTTAGGCCATCGACCTTACACCTTTTGTTGTGCCAATGGTTGAAGTCTTATAATAAAATCATACATATAATCATAGTCGATTTACTATGTGCCTAAAGTTTAAGATAGTCATATTCTCTAACATACTCGTGAATAGTCTCGTATGCTTCAACATTCGTAACTTATCTTATGCTTCTCAATCAGCTTCCTCGGGATAAAATTGAACATACATAGCTTCTTTGAATTCATCCCAACTAAGCAACTATTAATTCCTTTTTTAAGCTCTCGGTGCTACATGTGCAACCATAAAGTAGCATCTTTTGTAAGGTGAAGATTTGTGGTCTTGACACGGCTCTTATTCTTGCTCGAGTTCATCGACTTAAAGTATTACTCCATTTGCTAAAAAAAGTTATTATCTTCCTTAGCTTCCTACTTGCCGAGACGAGTGCCTCGGTCTTAACACTTTAGCTTTCGACAAGTCCCTCTAGACCACACCACTAGAGATTGCTTCTCGATAAATTATCCAATCTCTTCTAAGTTGTTTAAGAGTTTGCTCATACCTAGTCATAAACTCCCGATGTTGCTTGAACATTTCCTTCGTCTATTCCATTAAGACATCCTTTTTAGCGACACTCTCTTTGACACACCTCTCAATCAACTCCACTCAAGCTTAAAGATCGAAAAGCACCTCATGTAAACTTGTCATGCCTAGTGTCTCCCCTTTATCATCTCTTTCTATCTTTTCGAGTCTCTCCTTAAAATCGATAAGGTGTTCCTTTGTCTTTAAGAGTCGATCCTCCAAGGCAACCATTACGTCATAAGATCTTTTCTTAGGTTGAGGAGGGAGAGTCTCATTTCAAGTGTCTCCAAGCAACATCCTCAACACCAAAGCTAGACATGCTTACTCTTTGAACACTTAGCTAGCTGCAAGCTTAACCATGTTTGTAGAACTCATCTCTAATTTCACTTGTCATGAACTTGACCTTTTCCCAAGCTCTCGTGCGGTACTTGCCTCGCTTCTTCCCTTGGTCAAACCAAATCAACCTATCCTCCACATAAATTGTTAAGCAAAAAAGACATATATGAGATATATAAGAACTCTTTGTATTGCTTGTTTCTAAAGCTTACGGCTCTTTTTCAACTCTTGGATTACATTCTCTTGGATTACATGCCTTATCTATTTATTTGAGAGAAAGCAAAAAAAAAAAAAAGATTAAATTAATTATTTATTTTTATACATAAAGGTAGGAAGAAAAGGGCATTTTAGAATTTTTTTTTTAGATTTTTTTTTATGAAAAAATACCACGTGCCAACGATATTGTGAGTCCGTCATCGAAAATTGATGTAATTAATGAAATATTTGACCGGATGGATGAAATTAAGATGCAAATTAAGAATAGAGGGATACGATTATTGAAAAAATTAGTAGACAAACACTATTAAGAAAAATAAAACCTGCAGAGGGACTTTGGACCTTTAACCTTTTTTTCTATTTAAGGTAATTATTGGTCAATTTTTTGTGTATTTTTTTTTAATTCTTGAGAACACATAAATAAATTTTATTTTAGATTCCATGCATATTTTTTAAATTTTTTTAGTACAATATTAATTTTTTGAACAACTTTTTATTGAACAACACATACAATTAAAAACTTTTTGAACCAAATTTTTTTACTTGATTTTTTTTTCTAAATCCTATATTTCATATATTAGTCAACTATTAAATCAAACAACCACTTATCTATATATATATTTTTCATCAAATCAACATATGCGGAATAAATTGCAAACAAATGGAGATAAATTTAATTTTTCATGCTATAATAATTTTTTTTTTAAAAGGATTGTTTTAAAAAACAATAGTAGGAAATTTAATTTCCATTCGAAACGTTTCAACAAACGAAAACCAGGTGGACTCTCCCATTCGAAATTCTCAAAACCCATTTCCAGTCCTTCAGCGTCTCTTCCTCACTGGGTAAACCCTCAGCCCCTCTCTCTCTCTCTCTCTCTCACTGAGACAGTCAAACGCACAAAAATGGCGAGGAGCAGTTTCTCGATCTTAACAATCCTATCAATTACACTCCTCCTTCCCGTACTCTCCCTCTCTTTCTCCCCTGACTCCCCTACAGATCGTCGCCTCTTAGTCCTGCTCGACGACTTGTCACTCAAATCTTCCCACTCAATCTTCTTCAATTCTCTCAAATCTCGCGGTTTTGATCTCGATTTCAAGCTTGCTGATGATCCAAAACTCGCCCTTCAACGTTATGGCCAGTACTTGTATGATGCCTTAATTCTCTTCTCTCCTTCAATCGAAAGTAAGTTATTAAATTGAAAAAAAATGTTGTTTATTTTTATCAAGTTTTGGTTTTTATGGTTCAGTTTCTGATTTGAAAAAATGGGTTTTGTTCTATTTACGATGTTTTCTGTTTTTGGTTTTCCTGGAATGATTTGTGATTTGGGGCTTTGGGCAATTGGGTTTTGTTTGTTTTTGTTATTGTTAGGATTTGGTGGTGCATTGGATGTAGCTGCTGTGCTTGACTTTGTTGACTCGGGTCATGATTTGATCATTGCGGCCGATACTTCTGCTTCTGATTTGATTAAGAGTGTAGCTACTGAATGTGGAGTTGATTTCGATGAGGTTAGTGTAGAATTTATGATGCATTCGCTGTTTTTGTCATTTCGTTTAGTTTAATTTTTTTTTATGGAGTTTATGTAATGTTGTAGGATCCATCTGCTATGGTTATTGATCATAAAAGTTATGCTGTCGTTGAGACTGAGGGTGATCATACATTGATTGCTGCGGATGATTTTATTGAATCTGATGTGATGTTTGGAGAACGTAAGATTGAGGTTAGTTTGTTTGATTGTTTCATTGGTTATATTATTTTTTCCCCTACCATTATGGATCAATGAATTCTTGGAAAGTTTAAGGTTCGAGTTTTGAATGTTTATGTGTTTTGGATTAAACAGGCTCCTGTGCTCTTTAAAGGGATTGCACATTCTTTAAATTCAGCGAATTCCCTGGTGAGGTCAAGGTCAAATGAGTCTTGGTTTATTTCTTTGTTAATGTGGCTGGATGAAAACCTTTTTAAGGGTTTGTGGTAATGGTTTCTGTGTTATGTGGTATGATGTATAGGTATTGAAAGTCCTTTCTGCATCTCCTTCGGCTTATTCTGCTAATCCAAGTTCCAAATTGTCAAGTCCTCCATCACTAACTGGATCTTCCATCTCATTAGTTTCGGTGGTTCAGGTAACCTGGCTCTCTCCCTCGAAATGTTGCTCCTTTATGCTTATCAGTCATACAACAGCTGAAGAACATTTGTTTGCTGTGTTGTACTTTATGATTTATTTTATTTTAGTTTACTGACCGTTTTATTGGTCTATAATTATACTACCTTATGTTGAATCTGAATGCATAGAGGCACAAATGTGCATGACTATTGCATGTTAGATTGGATGTCTGTGTTTTGAACACTGCTCTTAGCTGAGTTTTTAAGAAAAAGTAAAATTTTGAGGTGAAATTTCTCCTCGCTAACATTTTTTACATAATGCAGGCTAGAAACAATGCTCGGATTATGATTACAGGCTCATTGGATATGTTTAGTAACCGGTATGCAGTCATCTGATGGTTTTCCAACTCCAGTGTCTATCTAGCAATTATTTGATTTATCTTTGGTGACACAATCTCTTTTTTATATGATTCAGATTTTTAAGATCAAGCGTACAGAAAGCTGGGAGCCCAAAAAGTAAGTGAAGTTCTTATTGAATTCTTTCATGGTTTAGTAACTTTTATCCATAAGCTTATTTTTCCCTCTACTGGCCAATATGTTGCTTGTGAACAGAAATTCATATTTATATTGATTTTTAAGGGAGGAAAGTCACGTTATTTGTGACCTTCTGTTGGCAGATATGATAAATCTGGGAATGAGCAGTTTGTGACTGAACTTAGCAAATGGGTCTTCCACGAAAGAGGCCATCTGAAGGTTAGGCTCTTATTTCAGTCGTCTTGAGTTGCCATAATCGTCTTGCTAAGGTGTCATCACTTTGCAACATTCTGAGACATACCAAAGAATGGTCTTTAGAATGTTGATATATTTTTCCTTTCACTTGATTGTGTTTTGTCCCATTTTCATATGTTATATAATATCAAGTCTTGTTCTTGGTCTCCAGGCTCTGAATCTTAGACACAATAAAGCTGGGGAAACAGACGAGCCTGCGATGTATAGGATCAAGGATGATCTGGTAATGTGTCAAGCTGTGTACTCGTTTAGATCTTTGAAATTTTGTTCTGATAAGGTAAAGTTGTGAGAGAGTGTTGGACAATCACCCTGAACTTATATATGACTGCAGGAATTTTCTGTTGAGATATATGAATGGTCTGGAAAGAGCTGGGAACCATATGTTTCCAATGATGTTCAGGTCCAATTCTACATGATGAGCCCTTATGTGTTGAAAACCCTATCAAATGACAAGCAGGTACACTTTTCGTAGCATCCCATATTCATTTCACCTTACAAGTTACAACCCTCCCTGCCCATGCCAATGTCTCTGATCTTTTGTGCACCTGGTTTTGCAGGGCTTGTATCATACATCATTCAAGGTGCCTGATGTTTATGGGGTTTTCCAGTTTAAGGTTGAGTATAAGAGGCTTGGATATACTAGCTTGTCGCTCTCCAAACAGGTAAGCTTCTTGGACTCGGATAATCTCCTCCACTCTATCAACTTAGCAACACACCTGTTTTACTTTAGTTTTGTAGTGGATCGATTGGTATGATTATGATTGATGTTGAAAGTGTTGGTTGCAATTTGATGATAATCACGCAAAACATTTGGGACTTCTTATGAATTGGAATTTGGATAGCTAGTTCAGGTGGCAACAGTGTTCTGGCTTATTGAATGGTAGAGTGATGCAGCTGTATCTATTCTGTGGCTTCTTTTTTCCGCTGGAGCGACACATTTATGTTCATCTGGGGAAAAGCACTTTGAGAAATATTATTATACACTGACCTGTCTAAACATCTATTTGGGGGAAACAATAATGAATCCCAAAGGAGCAATTGATTGCAAATTGTATTGCTTCTATTTACAAAATTTATGCATGCTACCTTTGTGTTTTTTTTTTTTGATGAAGATTCCTGCATCTATCGTGGTATGTTGTTAATATACCCTAAGCACGGATGTCTTCATTCGGAGTGTTGAACACCCTGAAAGGCACTCAGTCAATAACCAATTTAAATTGTGATTGCAGATTCCAGTTCGGCCGTTCAAACACAATGAATATGAGAGATTTATAACAGCTGCTTTTCCCTATTATGGAGCTTCTTTTTCAATGGTATTCTTTGTAAAAAACTGGAATTTTATTATTTTGTGAATCTATATTATTTGTGTAAGTGTGTGCTAAGCATATTATCCTGCCGATTGCAGATGGCTGGGTTCTTTATCTTCAGCTTTGTCTACCTGTACCACAAGTGAAGCCTGAGTTATAATAGAGAGGATTGCATTACTATGAAGATGGTTTCTTTTTAACATATGAAGAAGGCCGTGTAACAGTTCTCCCTCGCAATGTCATTATTTAGGAGGAATTATGGTGTAACGACATTGTACTACAATTATCCGGCATTAGTACGGCTCTGACTCCTTTTTCTTTTTGTAGAAAACTGTTGATGAGTATTAGAACCAGAACATTATAGGTTTAATGCAGTTTTACCATATGATAAACCAATTGCTAGATTTTGGTCTAATAAATTTGGAAGTGATGGCAAGTCTTTTGAGAATTTCGTAGTCCCTCTTCCCAACCATCCATTATTTGGAAAATGTTATTATTATGGTTTTTTTTTCTTATCCGGCAAATTCACCTTTATAAAAGTGATTATAAAAAAAAATTCATTTAAGTATTTAAAGCAGTGAAAATTTTCTAATTTCTATTCTGTTTTATGTTTTAATTTTTTTATCAACGCATAATTTATATAGTTATTATAATAACACATTATACCAAGTAAATCGTTTTTTTTTTTATATTAAAAGTTATTTGTCTATGTAACATATAGATTTGTTCAATTTATGATTAGAAAATTTATAATACACCAAGAACAATTACGCAAATAATTAAAGAGGGATTAAAAGGAATAGAAAAATTTGTCCTTTTTTTTCCCCTAGCTAGACAATAAAGAAAGAAATTGATTGACCTACTATAAACGGGTCCAACCAATGTATATGTCAACTGATAAATAATAATAATGATGATAATAAAACGTTTCTTGAAAGTTCGTAGTTTTTGGAGCCCATTGAGGAATCCATTTACCCGTCTCTCTAAGGCCTAAGCTCCGTAGGCGGCTCTTTCTAGGGCAAACACTGCGTGAGTTTTTGTTTTGCTTAAATCTAGTTTTTATCGCCTGCTTTCTTTGTCACGGGCTTAGAACAATAACACAACTTTTCTCTTTTATGCTGCCCAAGTATATTTGTTTTTATCTTATATTTGTATTTACCAATAAAATCCTTTCAAGTATTTTTAAAGTTTATAAATACTTTTATCAAATCAAATATTGTAATGTTTTAATATATAAAGTACGTAGTTATGAATATTGCCTCCCTCTCCTTCCACCAAAAACGTGTTGGACTTTGGTCAACTTAGGTTAAGGACTTGACGTGGTAGATAAGGGAATATGGACACGTGAAAACATGATTTCGGCAATTTTCTCATGTCACGGAAGGTGTGAACGCTCAACAAATCATAGCCACATTCCATTGAATAAGATAGTTTTTTAATATGTATTTATATTTTTAATTTAACTAATTTCATTTTTAAATATATATTAAATTTTAAGTCAAATTATTAAGTCAATCATATATTTTGTATGTGACTATTTGTATTTTCAAAACGTTCTTATAAGTCAGACAAATAAAAAAATGTACATCAAACGACTAATTTCAATAATTAGCTTGAATTAAGGTCCAATCTAGGAATGATCTTAGCATACCTTATGAAGAAACTAAATAGAAAAAAAAACATTGTGAAACTAGAAAGAACTTTTTTTTTTTTTTTTTTTCATGTTTAGCATAGAGAAGCATAGAAAAGAAAGTTTTTGTCTTTTTTTTTTTTGTGCACAATTGTCGAGAAATAGCAACATGAGAGAAAAGAAAAACAAATTGAGTTTTTCTTATTCTTTTGATGCATTTCATATGAAGAAATAAGGGTTTTGAAAGCATCAAATATTAGGGTTTTCACTTGTATATTAAAATTATAAAGAATCATGGTATTTAAAATAAAGATCTCACATAATATTGAGTTTTATAAAAACATAGAGATTTTTTATATTTTACATTTTCATAGCAGGACGAATTTAGCTATTGAAATAACTTTTACTACCGCCTATGTTTATGTTCTTTAAATTCATAAAATTTTTTGAGCGATCATGCATTTTTTTTTATTATAGAAGATTATTTCAAAGTTGGTGATGATATATATATATATATATTGCGATAGAAAAAGTTTTTTATGTAGACTTATTATTTTTATAATTGATTTATTTTGTGCTCTTGATTATTAAATTTGTGTATTTGATTTAATTATTTTCTAATGAAATCTAATTGACACAAAGTAAGATTAAATTCTCACACTAAATTACATTGTATCTATACATATTCTTATATTTCATATGCATACTAGCTAGTTTTAAGTCGAGATTTATCAAAACAATGATCATGTTGCATGTTTATTTATATTTTAATACTTTTCACTAACATTTACGTTTGGTTTATATATTATGTTTATGACTGTTATCAAGAGGTTTAAATTTAACAAGATGATTTTTTCTTAAAAAAAAAAAATTCGACACCTCATAAAATTAGACAGTGAAAATAAGTAAATAACATTCGGAGAAGGAACATCACACTTCCATTGATGCTGTTAATCGAGGGATTGTTGCCAAGTGGACAAAACACGATGAAAGCATGGCAAGGCAAGAGTCAAGCAGCCAATTTGCTGAAAAGAACAAAAGGTGTTTTTTTTTTCTTTTTTTCAAGATCAAAAGAAAGATTGTGTCAAAAGTAGATAACGGAGACAGAAAAGTGAAAATAGAAAAAACTAGTTAGTTATTGGAAAAAAACAAAATTATTTTAAAATTTTTAATTATTTTTTTTATGCTTTTCATAGTTTTTTTACTTATAAATTATAATTTATTCTTATTTTTAGATAAAAAGTTATAATAATTTAAATTAAAATATTAATCCAGAATTAAAAAATACTTTAAAAATATATTTCTTGTAAGAATGTACTCAAAAAATAAAGTTACAATTAATGTATAGACTTATATAAAAATCAATTAATAAAAAATAAATTTTTATTTTTATTTAATGCTGATAAGAAGGTTATTTTTTAAAAACATATGCATTTAATTTATATATATTTATTTATAAAATAATCAATAATATTAATATAAAAACCTATATTTTAATAAATATAATGAAATAATTAACGTTTTCACTTTAACTCGTATTCAACACTCTTTTAGATCCATAAAAACCTTTAAGTATTGAATTGAACTAAAAGTTTAACCTAAAAACATTAATTTAATCATCAAACACGTAAAACTAATTTAAATTTAAAAAATAATATAAGTATTGAATTTAAGTATTGAATTTTAAGAGCAAGATTATATCTATGGCTTCAAGGTTTTGTATTTGCTCGGGAAGTAAACGCAGGTCAAAGGATTTTGTTTTTTCTCCATATTAACATATGCTTACGTGAGATATTAAGATTTAAAATAATAATAATATAATAATAAAATTCTTAAATTTGTTTATCTACGTGTAATGGTAACTAATTTTATTTTAAAAAAACCGAACCAGTCAAATTCTGACAATTCACACCTGCCTGTGCTAAAAGATGCGGATAATGCGTCCTGCAAGATCCAGCCAATCCAATCCAAAATCATGCTTTTGTCACTTCTGGCTTCCATGGGTCTTAGCTTCATGCTTCGCAGTTCTGCCACCCACTCTTTCTCTGTCCAAAATTCCCAATTTCACTCTCTATCCCTCTAGATTCCTATCCTATATCTCTGCATAACTTTGCTGTCTCACTACTTGTTTTGGAACTCATTACTCATTTACTCCATTCTCATTTGTGGTCAAAGAAATGGTTTTTTTTTTTTCTTCATTTATGGCTAAAAATTAACTCTCATTGCCAACCGTTTAGACTCTGCCTAACCTGATTTTCACTTGCAAGGCAGCTTTTTTATTGCAATTATATAGATACCCACCAAAACAAATCCCATAATCAACTCATATTCATAGAGTAAAAGAAATCTTCGTCTCTCTCTCTCCCTCTCTCAGACGCCAAAAAAATAAAAGAAAAAAAAATGACTTCTGTGACTCTGGGTTCGTGGGTTCGGATGACTTCGGTCGTCGACAAAGAAACAAGATCCAGATCCAGACCCATCTCGAAATTCTTATCTCCAGGCGTTCAAAGCCTTCAAATTCCTTCAATTCATCAAAAACAGAGAAAACCCATGTCTTCAATTTGTGCAGTTCTCACAAAAGAAGAGACTCTTCAAGAAGATCAACAAAAACCCACTTTTGACTTCAAGTCTTACATGGTACAAAGAGCCAATTCCGTTAACAAAGCATTAGATGCTGCTGTTTCTCTTAAAGAACCGGCTAAAATCCATGAGTCGATGCGATACTCTCTTTTGGCTGGTGGCAAGAGGGTTAGGCCAGTGCTTTGTCTTGCTGCTTGTGACCTTGTTGGTGGGTCTGAATCCATGGCTATGCCTGCTGCTTGTGCTGTAGAAATGATCCACACTATGTCGTTAATGCATGATGATCTTCCTTGTATGGATAATGATGATCTTCGCCGCGGAAAACCCACCAATCATATTATTTTTGGCGAGGATGTTGCTGTTTTGGCAGGGGATGCTTTACTGGCATTTGCCTTTGAACATATTGCAGTTTCTACACTCAATGTTTCGCCTCTTAGAATTGTTCGTGCAGTTGGCGAATTGGCGAAAGCTATTGGTGCTGAAGGACTTGTTGCTGGACAAGTTGTTGATATTTGTTCTGAAGGGTTATCTGAAGTAGGGTTAGAACAGCTTGAATTTATTCATGTTCATAAGACTGCTAAGTTATTGGAAGGTGCGGTTGTTTTAGGGGCTATATTAGGTGGAGGTACCAATGAGGAAGTTGAGAAATTGAGGAAATATGCAAGGAGTATTGGATTGTTGTTTCAAGTAGTGGATGATATTCTTGATGTTACCAAATCTTCACAAGAATTGGGGAAAACTGCAGGGAAAGATTTGGTTGCGGACAAGGTTACTTATCCTAAGTTAATGGGGATTGAGAAATCTAGAGAGTTTGCTGAGAAGTTGCTTAATGAAGCTAAGGACTTGCTTGCTGGATTTGATCAAGAGAAGGCGGCTCCGTTGATTGCTTTGGCTAATTACATTGCTCACAGGCAAAACTAATTTATGCTGTATTTCAATTGTTTCTCGGTTGCCTTGTTTTTGTATAAAATTAGATCTCTCTACAGTTTTCGGAGAAAGCTTATTGCATCAGCAGCAGGGACAACTTATTTTTCTCTCCGTGCTTTAGTTTTCATTATTCATATAACAAGCATGTTGTATCCCTTGTGTACGAGTAATAATGGAATTTCCCCTTGAAGTTGGGTTGGTTGACAATTAATTGCTTTATGTCATTCTTTTTGCTTGATTTTCACGTTTTTCATTAGTAAGAGTAGTGGTGTACACAGTGAATTGATGAAGCATTAACTGTTGATCAGTCTGCGACAATTAGAATGTTTCGTGACAGTGTGCGTCAAGCTATTGAGTGTGGATTAAGAATTGCAAAGCAAAGAAAGCAAAGAGTACCTTTCAGAATGTTCACCTCTTAGGACTTCCTGGTTCTTGAAATGTGTCTAGATGAAGAATCCATTCATAGATTTTGAGGCATACCGAATTGTTGAAAGCCTGAAGTTCGCTGTTCTAATATTTTTGAGACTTGAAGCATATGGTTCTAGGCTCTGTAATCTGGGTTTCCTTTCTCCTCTGGCAAACGTGGTTTTTCTTTTCAGTCTTTTTTTGTTGTAAATTTTTCCCTTCTTGTGTGTCTTTTCATACCCTTTAGCACCACTGAATGTGTTGTCTGCCAAAAGTTACTAGTTTCTAACTTCTTGAACATGACCTGGGCACGCAGGGCTCTAGTATGATCAGGCCTCTGCTGGAGACTTTCAAGCTGTTCATTGGAGAAGCATAAATGAGGTTCTGGTCCAGGTTAGTCTTGTTGTTCTTTCTAATGTTTTTGTTGATGGAATAAATCAACATTAACGACCGAAACTGAAAATGAAACTGCTGATTGTGTATTGCCTAAAGTTTTGTGATATATAAAGAAAGAACTCAACTCTGATTAAGGTTTTTGTGCATGCTCTCTGAGGCCTAATAATCAGATAAATTTCTTGCTTTACGTTGGGAATCCCTTAGTGCCGAATATAGTGACTGATATAATGATATTCAGACTATAGCACAAGTTAGGTAGCTCAGAGTGCAATCTTATTGTTTGATCCAGCGAGGGTGAGACTGCTGGTTCGAATAGCAGATTACAATTCTGGGAAAGTTAAAAATATGTATATCCTTGCATATGCTAGAGGTTTTCTTGGTATGACCTTCATTTCTTGGCAAAAAGCCATCGTTGGTAGAAACGAGTAGAATAATATACAGTTTCTTTTCTGGTACTATGTCTTGCAATATCTTCGTGGAATAACTAAGGATATTTATTTTTTAGACTCATTTTGATTAGAGAAACAGGAGCAAAGAAAAAACACACTCATAACTTTCTTAAGCAAATGTTTGAATCTTTCTTTCTCATAACCAAATCAACGTTTTCAGCACTAGCTGTCCACAGTACTCTACGTGATGCAGTTTCCATTCTCATTTCTCCTTTCACGTTTTGGAAATGGACAAGAAAATGCAAATGTTGATTTCTAGCTTACGTACCTTGTGACTATTCCAAGCAGAACCCCAGATAAGACATGTTCTTATGAGCTCGCAAGACCAGCCTTCAACGCCGTCTGGGCATGTCACTGTTGTACATGACTTAAGCATACCAATGGGCGTGGACCCTTCATTTTTTAGCAGCCAAGCCGAAGACATAAGATTTCCATGGTTCTTTCATGTGAAAAATGCAACTGTACTAGAAACAAATTCATGAATTTGGAATGAAAGAAGGATGACAATTTGTCTCGTTCCGACGAAGCTCTGCCCCGCCCCGTCATGTTCAATGTTGGAATTCTCCGAGTTGATTGGAAAACAAGACGGTTTGTCTTGTATTAATTTTGAATGATGATGGGATGGAGATGATATTTTTTAGCTTCGTTTCGTTTGACCTGCTCTATCTTTGAAATTACAATCATACTTTATATAAAATCTATAATTATTGATTTTTAGAGTTTATTTTTTATATAAATTTTTTTTTATAATTTAAAATTTGATAATATAATGGAGTGGGATGGGACGAAAATAAAAAATTAAATTGGGGTGGGGCATCTATGCCTTCTGAGGATCAGCATCTTTATTTGAAACGAAAATAGAATGAAAAATATTATCTCGTTCGAAGCACGTAATGAAAACGGGGCAAAATTTTCAAGGATGGGCCATTCTTAAATGGAAGCAATCAACTTCGATCGGGTCGCAGTTAGTGTTGGTTCATTTTCTCGTAGCAGCAGCAGCATCAGCATCACATATTTTTGTCGCTTTCCGGGCCAAAAATTAAAGGATGTCGTCTCTCTCTCCAAAGCAAAAATGCAAAAAGAAAGCGCCGTTGCCGGGGATCGAACCCGGGTCACCCGCGTGACAGGCGGGAATACTCACCACTATACTACAACGACTTCGTTGTTAACAAGGTTTCCTTCACTTCAATTAAAGAAAACCCATAAGGGGACTGTCTAGAAACAAATGAATGGAATTATCCATTTCCAAAAAATTGTTAATCATTCTTAAAATGTTTGTTCAATCAAAATTTTAAGCAATGTATTTTTATAGAATATTTTTAATTATAGTCCATTTTGTAAAAAATTATCTAAATACGATTTTTTAAAAATAAATATTTTTGAAAAAGTATGAATAAAAAATATTAATGTGACATATTCTTTTTTTCTAAATAGCTTGTTTATCTTTTTATTTATATATGTCCTAAAATACTTATCTAGTTAAAATTTTAAATAATATATTTTTCTAAAATACTTCTAATTAAAGTTTATTTTATAAAAATTGTTCAAATACAATTTTACAACATATATTTTTAAAAAATATAAACAAAAAGTGCTAATATAATATAATAATTAATATATATTTTTTAATCTGTGTAAAAAAAATCAAATATGGAGATAATAATAATTAATAACTTTAATTTGTATTAAAAAAAAATCTTTTAAATAGAGAAAGCATTACTATGAACAAAGGAGTTACCGTGAAGAAAGGAGTAGTGATGAGAATTGGAAATTGGAATCCCTGTGGAATAATAAGCACGAAGGTGTTGGAGAAATTTCAAAACAGCGTGTGTTACGATCAGTCCTGCCAGCCTTTGAATTAGATTCAATGGAGTTGAAGCTGGAGAAATGCCATTGGTCATGACTCGTTAGTGGAGAAAATGATAGTGGGTCTCTAGTGCCCTTTGATTTTTCAAGTCATGTAAAAGCTGAGGTCACTAGGTGCTTTCGTGAAGACGTTTAACTTGTTGGTTAAGTGTTCCCATCTCAATCAACTTACATAATCAATCCAAACTAAATCTTTTATCTAATGATTTTAAAGACAGTGATGTAGCGGTATAATAAAAATAATAATGATAATAATAAAATAATAATAATGATAATATTTTTAAAATTTTTTATAATCATTGTCAATAATAATTTTTATCGTGCTATTCTTTATTATAAAAAGAAAAAAAAGAAAATAATAAAAATTATTGTAAAGATGATGATGACAGCGAATATCGTATAATAAAAATAACGATAGTAGCAGAGAATAAATAATAACAAAATAATAATAATAATTTTTTAAAAAAATTTATAATCATTGTCAATAGTAATTTCCATCATGCTATTCTTTATTATAAAAAAAGAAAAAAGAAAAAAAAACTTTGAGAGTTAGCTTCGCTTTGAGCATGAGATATTTTATAATACTCAAAAAGTAACTAATGATATGTATAATAATCACTTCATAAATTTATTTTGAGAAAAAAGATAAATATAAAAAAAGAGAAAGAACTATATCCGAATTCATAAAAAATGATAAAAAGATTTTTATGTTCACTGATTTTTTTTTAATTTTCTCTCTCACATCTCTCTTTTTTTTGTATCTATTTTTTTCTCAAAATAGATGCATAGAGTAATTATTGTATATGTTATTAATTATTTCTCAATTATTATAAAGTTTCTCCTTCTCACATAAGCTATACGTCAAAAATGAAATGTCCATGTAAGAACCCATTTGGAGTATGGTGGGCCTTCAACCTTCCTTCTCTCTCTTTTCTTGGTGGATCCTCCACCTTGGATTCATAAGCTCCGTGAATGGGCTAGGTTGACCATCCACAATGATTCCTCCAACTTTAAAAGCCCAAGGTCCAATCTAACATTTTTATTGCCCATTCATTTAGGTAGTTTTTTTTCTCCCTTGACTATTAAAAGTTGCATCACATCGAGACGTGTTTTGTCAAATTATTCAATTAAATCCTTGAACTATAGATTTTTTAGATGAAGGATTGACAGAGATTATATAATTTAAGCTTTAATACAAGCAGGATGGTACTAAATGTAAATCAATTTAAATTTATGGTAAAGTGTAACTTTTTTCAGATAATAAAATTGATATTATCAAATTTTTAATCATTGTAATTTTATAATAGTTAATGAGTAATTAGTTTACATGTAAAGTAGTTATTTTATGAAAGAATTACATCTGAAGTTATCAAAAGTAATTAAAATATTTTCACATTGTCTCAATTTTTTGTTAAATTTTTTTCTATTTCTTTTTATGAAGTAATTTACACTAATTGTTCCTTGTAAAATTTCGTAGTCAAATATAATATATTTATATTTTTTATATATAAGTTTAAAAAATCAATCTATCTTGTTCTTTCAATCCTTATTAATAAATGATAATCACAAAATCTATATTTACATATAAAAAAGAAGATTAAAAGAGAAATTAAGTTTTTAAGAGAAAGGAAAATGTTGGAAAGAGATTTCTTTTACAAGTTTTGATATAAAAGAGAGATTTGTACAATTTTGAATTTCGTAACGTAGGAGAAAGGAAAGGAAGAAGAGGAGGAGGAGGAGGAGGAGGAGGAGGAAGAAAGGTGTTTGAAGCATATTAAACTTTTATCATCCTTAATAAGCGGGTCCTACATTACTTTATTTGAACCAATTAGAATGATTGGGCTTTACCATCCTGCTCCTAGGACGGAGGGGCGTGGGCAAGTAAATCTCCAAACGAATACCGTCCAAGGATTCGATTGACTAATTTGATAGTACAAGCCTCGATCTACACCAATTGTCATTGTTGAGTGACAAAAACTAAAAAAAAAAAAAAAAACCGCGTATTTGCGAGCAAAGCATGTGTTAGTTTACTAAAATAACCGTTAAAAAAATGTATTTTTTTTTATTATGTAATTGGATGTGGAAATTATAGAAAACATATTGTTATTTTTTTAGTTTGATATACAATTTGATGATGATAAAACATATATGATATGTTTTAAGATTTTAAGTTGAACATATATATCATATTATATTATTTTTATTATTTAAAATTTATTTTTTAATTTACCGTTTCTTATCAAAATTCTCATAAATTTATGTTTAAAATTTTTTATATAATTTTATTTTTAATAAATATGCTTATATATATGGATTTTGAAATAAAAATTTAAGACATAATTATTTTATATTTTTAATATATTATTATAATTTATATGATGAATTTTTATAAATTTTAAATAAGGATAGGGTAGTTGCATATATATAAAGGTAAAAATGTGTTTTAGATAATGTGATTAAATTTTTTTTTAAATATTCATGAGTTTTTTTTTAATATATATGATTAAAATTTATCGAAACCAATTTTATAATAATTTGTATTCTAATCTATTATTAAATTCAATATATTCTATGCAACTTAGGTGGTTATATATATATTAGTTTTGTTGAAAATTAACTATGTACCTATACACATAATATTAATTATTTATTATTTATTTTTTTTCATGTTCTAAAATCAATATTTTTTAAATAAAAAATTAAAATAATATTTTAAAAATCTTCCAATTATTGAAATACATCTTTTTTATATTAATATTATTGATTATTTTATTGATAAATATATATAAATTAAACAGTGATCGTTGTATTGCCTATGATTATGAGTTAAGTATGTCTATCGATACAGTCAACGTATATGTCTATAAAAAGATTATTTTATGTTAATGTTATTAATTATTTTATTAATAAATATATATAAATCAAACAGTTAATCAATATTTTGTATCGCCTATGATTATGAGTTATGTATGCCCATCGATATATGTCTATAAAAAGACTGTTTTAGTGGTCATTAGCACATCAACAGCAGAAGCGTCTCTCTCTCCCGCCCACTTTTTTTTTGTTTCCAACCGACATACTTTTGAATCTTCTTCCCTCTTGTAACCAAACACAAAAACTACTTCTGACTCTGTACATACACTCTCTTTGACAACATTTATATACATATTTTTTCGTTTCTACACATTTTCTCTCATTTTCTTCGCTTTCTTGTCCTAGCAAGCCACTTTTAAACTAGACCGCCTCAGACCCGTCTTCTCTTTCCGAAGCTTTATTCTCATTGTTTATAAAACCTGTCTTTTTTCTCACAGTTCTTTGTTTTGTAACATATTATTGCTTTTAATTCTTACATTCACACTAGCATAATCTCTTTTGGGTTCACAAGACCCCAGCTTCTGTTTTTTTTTTTTTTTTTTTGTGTGGTAGTAAGAGAAATTTATACATTTCAGCTGAATTTCAGGTACTTTTAGCTCTTCTGATACAGAGGAATATACTGTAAGCCATTTCCTACCCAAACAAAAACTTACTTTTTGGGGTTTTTCGGTTTGATTTCGTTGTGTAGATCTAATTCCTGTCATCGATTGAAGAATTTGCTTCTGGGTTTTGAATTTCATAGCAAAAGTTCGTTAATCTGGGTGTTTTCTTGTTCAATCAGCTGGTTTTGACTTCAATTTTGGACAGTTTTGAAGCTTCCCTAAATTGGATGGTGTTGTTTAAGTCAACTTGATTACTGGGTTTGCTTAGATTTGATGGTTCTGCAATTTGATTGCATTTGCATTTGCAGTGAAGGATATCAAATCTCTAGGTCACATTGGGTTTGTTAAATTATTATCAATTTTAATTTGGACATGATGAGAGGGCAATCTAGCAAAACGAGAGGACGTGATAGCCCATCACCACCACTCCAAGAAAACACCAATTCCCAACTCACAGAAGATTTGAGCTCGTATGAGGATGCTTGTAAGCAAGATCCGGATTTGCAATCCTTTGATGCTACCCTCCATGAAAGGACTAATCATGTGATAAACAGCCTTGCTACTGGTGTGGAGATTAGATCCTTAGGCTCATTTAAAGAGGTCACAAGTTGTCTTCTTGAAATGAACCAAGATGTTGTTAAAGTCATACTAGAAAGCAAGGAAGATATATGGAAAAATCGAGAGTTGTTTGGTTTGGTTAAGGAATACTTTGAAAATAGTGTCAAAACTATGGAGTTTTGTACTGCTCTTGAAAGTTCTCTTAAACGCGCACAAAATAGCCAGTTAATTATGCAGTTTGCAATTAAGCAGTTTGAGGAAGAAGTAGAATTGCAAGATGGGGCAGTTGAGAAGAAGTTTATGAAGACGATAGAAGGATTGCAGAAGTTTAAGGCAGCAGGGGATCCATTTACACCGGAGTTCTTTCTACTGTTTCAATCAGTATATAAGCAACAGGTATCCATGTTGAGGAAATTGCAATCTCGAAAGAAGAAGCTTGAGAACAAAATGAAAAAAATGAAGACGTGGAGGAGGTTGTCGAATGTGTTATTTGTATCTGTTTTTGTCTCTGTGCTGATTTTCTCGGTGGTAGCAGCTGCAGTTGCTGCACCGCCTGTTGTAACAACCGCAGCAGGTGCAATGGCCGTTCCAATTGATTCAGGAGGAAGATGGTGCAACAGGCTTTTGAACCGTTACGAGAAAGCATTGAAAGAACAGAAGGAGTTAGTAAGCTCAATGCAGGTTGGAACTTTCCTTACAATCAAGGACATGGATAATATACGGGTGCTTGTCAACAAATTGGAAATGAAAATTGAGTCACTCTTGCACAATGCTGACTTTGCTATCAGAGAAGAAGACACTGTGAAACTTGTGATAGATGAGATCAAAAGGAAGATGGCGATGTTCATGGAAACCATTGGGGATTTAGCTGCCCACGCTGATGCGTTTAATCGCGACATAGGGCGTGCGAGGACAATGATTCTGCAGAGGATACTTAAATATGCTGATCAGTGAAGAACTCTGGTATTTGTAGTAATGACTTGCAACTTGGTCATCCTTACTGCGTTTCGTGTACTCAGTAAAGTGATGCTAACTCGTCCAGTTTGATCTAAATTCAACCTAGAAACCTGTATTTTCCAGCATTCTTATGCTTTTATAGAGTTAGAGTTGAGATTAGGTTCTATCTAAAAGACTTAAGCCTAATGATGAGTGGTCTCTTTTTAATTTTATATATTATTTATTATTGATTTAACTATTTAATATGTGATATGTTTAAACAATTCCCCTTACTTGCAGCCTATCTTTTAGCGTTTGTCAAATGGCATGGGCTCCAGGATCTTTGAGCCTCTTTGAGACTCTCGTATCATGTAGAGTTACATAGTTGAGATTGGGTTCTATAAAAAAGACTTTAGCCTTATGATGAATGATCACTTTTCAACTTTATATATTATTTATTATTGATTTAACTATTTAACGTGCTATATGTTCTAACAACTTTCTATCCCAATGCTTGACATTAGAATTTTTCCATGATAGTGTCTATCTGGTTTGCATGCCAGATTATTGCAGAAGTCACTGGTACTAGCTATTCTGACGTTATGCTGGTTGCTTGATGCTATAGAAACCATTTATTTATGATAGTTATATGTTGTCTGTTGTCTGTTGTTGCCACGTTGAATATGCATATTATATTAGTCAATCAAGTGCATTGCATGCAGGTTATGTTCTGCTGTAGCCTTCAAGTCAACAACTGCAATTGTTTAGGATAATAATTCTGATAAGAGTAGCGCACAAGTGATTGGAACCGGCATGACAAACCCTCTCTGCGTAGGGTGTTTCATTTACAATGACCGAGTGAAAGTACAGATTTATGAAGAGTTTTCATTCATCTTTTTCTATTGAGAAACATTTCTGCAAGAACTTCAGAAGTCCAAATAAGAAAACCAAACTTCAACTAGGCTCGGATTAGTATTGGGTTAATGGGTGCGGGGTCCTATATTCTTTCTTTCGTTTTTATGGTGATCTTCTCCATTTTTTTTTTTTTTTTGTTTTAAGTTCATTGTTAATTTTTTGAATTAACGATTTTAAATCGCCTTGTTAGCTCTATACAGGTGTTTACTATGTTTTTTTATTATTATTATTATTTTTTTTTTAATTTTTTAAATCTTAATCCTGTCCCTCTATTCTCTTTTGACCATACTTTGGAAACCATAGAAAAAATATCTAGATAAATTTATACGTTTTTTTCAGGCCTCCCAACACAATTTGAGAGCATTCCAACTTATTTTATTATTTATTTATTCAAAATCTTGTGAATATTTAATTTAAAAAATCAAGAACTTAAAAAACTTTGAAATTGTTTTTGAAACTATATTGAAAATTTATTAGCATTCGTTTCAAAACACCAAAAGATAATTTTCTTTTATGGGACCAACTCTTTTTACAATTAAAAAATAACATAAGGACTAAAATAAATAAAATTTGGGTTTAGATGATTCATGGTTTACGAAGGACATCTCTCTATATATTAGTTTTGATATGTAAGGATTTTCTTTCGAATAACCGAAGATCAAAAGAGATTATATAGTTTAAGCCTTAATGTGAGCAGGATGGTATTAAATGCAAATCAATTTAAGTTTGTGGTAAAGCGAGAAATTTTATAATACATTAGGAGTAACTCAGTGGCATATATAATAGTTATTTTATGAGCCCACTTTGAGAAGAAAGATAACACATAAAAAAAATAGTAAAATTACATCTATACTCATCAAAAGTGATAAGAAGATTTTCACATCTATTCAAATTTTTTTATTTTCTCTCTCCTTTTTTTTTTTTTTTTTTGTCTATCTCTCTATTTAAAGTGAGTCCATAGAGTAACTATTATATATGTTACTTAGTTACTCTTGATTTATTATAAAATTACTTCGGTAAAGCCTAGCTTTTTTCGGATGATAAAATTAATCTTATCAAAAAAAATTTATCGTTGTCCAAATATAATATATTTAGATTTTTGTTTATATAAATTTTAAAAATCTATCTAGCTCATTCTTTTAATCCTTATTAGTAAATGATACTCACAAAATCTATATTTACATATAAAAAAAGAAGATTAAAAGAGAAAGGGAGTTTTTAAGAGAAAGGAAAATGTTGAAAAGAGATTTCTTTTACAAATCTTGATATAAAAGAGATATATACTTAGATTTGCATAATTTTGAATTTCGTAACGCAGAAGAAAAAGAAAAAGAAGAAGAAGGAGAGGAAGAAAAAAGGTGCTCGAAGCATATCAAACTTTTATCATCGTTAGTAAGCAGGTCCTACATTACTTTATTTGAACCAATTAGAACGATTGGGCTTTAACATCCTGCTCCTAGGACGGAGGGGACCAGGCAAGTAATCTCCAAACGAATACCGTCCAAGGATGTGATTGACTAATTTGATAATACAAGCATCAATCTACCTCAATCCTCATAGTTGAGTGACAAAAAACTTGGAAAAAAAAACCGCGTATTAGCTAGTAAAGCATGTGTTAATTTACTAAAACAACCATTAAAAAACAATTTATTTTTAAATTTTTTATCATATAATTGGATGTGAAAGTTATATAAAACATATCGTTATTTTTTTAGTTTTACATCCAATTTGTGGATGATGAAATATATACGATATGTTTTAAGATTTTAGGTTAAACATATGTATCATATTATATTATTTTTATTGTTTAAATTTGATTTTTTTTAATTTATGGTTTCTTATCGAAATTCTCATAGATTTAATTTTTTTTTATAATTTTATTTATCAATAAATATAGTTTTTTTATATATGAATTTTGAAATAAAAATTTAGAATGTGATTATTTTATATTTTTTAACTTATTATTATAATTTATATGATGATTTTTTATGATTATTTAAATGAGAATAGCGCAATTGTATATATATAAAGTTAAAAGCGTGTTTTAGATAATTTGATTCATTTTTTTAAAATCTTTAAATAATCAATTAAAAAATAAAATTCATGAGTTTTATTTGCTTTATATATATATATATATATATATATATATATATATATATCATTAATTTTGTTAACTACGCATCTATGCACATAATACTAATTATTTGTTATTTATTCTTTTTATTTTCTAAAATTAATATTTTTTAAATAAAATAATTAAAATAATTTTTTGAAAAAAAAAACCTTCCAATGATTGAAAAACAACATTTCATGTCAATATTATTAATTATTTTATTAATAAATATATATAATTCAAATGATTTTATTCAATAAATAAATTTAATTTACATTAATTATCAAAAACAAAATCCTTATCCATATTATAATATACTAATTATTAATTTTGTATACATAATGATCAAGAGTATCCAAGTCCCTAATCACTATGTTATGTCGCCTAACAACTTGAGTATGTCCATTGATACATTCTATAAAAAGACTACATTGGTAGTTACTAGCGAAGCGCGTTTTAGCACATCAACAGCAGAAGCTTCGTCTGTCTCGTCCGACCACTTTTTTTGTTTCTAACCGAAGAGTCAACCTGCAGGCGCCTGCTTTGAATCTTCTTTACTCTTGTAACCAAACACGAAGACTACTTCTGACTCTCGGCATACACATGTATATCTTTTTTTTTTTTTTTTTTTTAACATTTCTACACATTTTCTCTCATTTTCTTCGCTTTCTCGTCCTAACATTCCACTTTCAAAGTAGACCGCCTCTCTCTTTCTAAAGCTTTATTCTCATTGTTTATAAAACCTGTCTTTTTTCTCATAGCTGTTTGTCTTATAACATATTATTGCTTTTAATTCTTACTTTCACACTAGCACAATCTCTCTTGGGTTCACAGGATCTCAGCTTCTGTTTTTTTTTTTTTCTTTTTATTTTTAGCAAGAGAAATTTATACATTTCAGCTGAATTTCAGGTACTTGTAGCTCTTCTGATACAGAGGAATATACTGTAAGCTATTTCATACCCTAAAAAAGTTATATTTTGGGGTTTTTTGGTCTGATTTCGTTGCTTAGATCTAATTCCTGTCATCAATTGAAGAGTTTGCTTCTGGGTTTTGGATTTCATAGCAAAAGTTTGTTAACCTGGGTGTTTTCTTGTTCAATAAGCTGGTTTTGACTTCAATTTTGGGCATTTTTGAAGCTTCCCTAAATTGGATTGTGTTGTTTAAGTCAACTTGATTACTGGGTTTGCTTAGATTTGATAGTTCTGCAATTTGATTGCATTTGCATTTGAAGTGAAAGAGATCAAATCTCTAGGTCACATTGGGTTTGTTAAATTGTTATCAATTTTAATTAGGATATGATGGGAGGGCAATCTAGCAAAACGAGAGGAAGTGATAGCCCATCACCACCTCTCCAAGATGACACCAATTCCCAACTCACAGAAGATTTGAGCTCGTATGAGGATGCTTGTAAGCAAGATCCGGATTTGCAATCCTTTGATGCTACCCTCCATGAAAGGACTAATCATGTGATAAACAGCCTTGCTACTGGTGTGGAGATTAGATCGTTAGGCTCATTTAAAGAGGTCACAAGTTGTCTTCTTGAAATGAACCAAGATGTTGTTAAAGTCATACTAGAAAGCAAGGAAGATATATGGAAAAATCGAGAATTGTTTGGTCTGGTTGAGGAATACTTTGAAAATAGTGTCAAAACTATGGAGTTTTGTGCTGCTCTTGAAAGTTCTCTTAAACGCGCTCAAAATAGCCAGTTAATTATACAGTTTGCAATTAACCAGTTTGAGGAAGAATTAGAATTGCAAGATGGGGCGGTTGAGAAGAAGTTCGTGAAGACGATAGAAGGATTGCAGAAGTTTAAGGCAGCAGGGGATCCATTTACACCGGAGTTCTTTTTACTGTTTCAATCAGTATATAAGCAACAGGTATCCATGTTGAAGAAATTGCAATCTCGAAAGAAGAAGCTTGATAAGAAAATGAAAAAAATGAAGACATGGAGGAGGGTGTCGAATGTGTTGTTTGTATCTGTTTTTGTCTCTGTGCTGATTTTCTCGGTGGTAGCAGCTGCAGTTGCTGCACCGCCTGTTGTAACGGCCTTAGCAGGTGCGATGGCCGTTCCAATTGGTTCAGTAGGAAGATGGTGCAACATGCTATGGAACCGTTACGAGAAAGCATTGAAGGAACAGAAGGAGTTAGTAAGCTCAATGCAGGTGGGAACTTTCCTTACAATCAAGGACATGGATAGTATACGGGTGCTTGTCAACAAATTGGAAGTGAAAATTGAGTCACTCTTGCACAATGCTGACTTTGCTATCAGAGAAGAAGACACTGTGAAACTTGTGATAGATGAGATCAAAAGGCAGATGGCGATGTTCATGGAAACCATTGAGGATTTAGCTGCCCATGCTGATGCATGCAATCGCGACATAGGCCGTGCGAGGACAATGATTCTGCAGAGGATACTTAAATATGCTGACCAGTGAAGAACTCTGGTATTTGTAGTAATGACTTGCAACTTGATCATCCATTGTGCGTTTCGCGGCACTCAGTAAAGTGATGCTAACTCTTCCAGTTTGATTTAAATTCAACCTAGAAAACTGTATTTTCCAGCAGCCTTATGCTTTCTCTCCCTATGCTTTACATAAAAAAAAAAAAAAAAAAAAAAGGGATCTATGGGAATTTTTCCATAATAGTGTCTATCTGGTTTGTATGCCAGATTATTGCAGAAGTCACTAGTACTAGATATTCTTATCTGGTTTGTAGGCCAGATTATTGCAGAAGTCACTGGTACTAGATATTCTGATGTTATGTGGGTTGCTTGATGCTATAGAAACCATTGTTTATGACAGTTACATGTTGTCTGTAATATGCATTATATTTAGAAGCAAACTTACCAAGACTGCAATAAATTTGAGTCAATCTCAATCATCAGTTCATAAGAAAAATGTCAACAAGTGCATTCCAGGCATGTTATGTTCTGCTGTATAGTCTTCAAGTCAACAACTGCAATTGTTTAGGATAATAATTCTGATAAGAGTAGCACAAGTGATTGGAACCGGCATGACACAGTAGTGGCCAGCAGAGAACAGAAAACAAGTTTATAAAGAATTTTCATTCATCTTTTTTTGTTGAGAAACATTTCTGCAAGAACTTAAGAAGTCTAAGTGAGAAAACCAAACTTCAACTAGGATCGGATTCATATTGGGTCAATGGTTGCAGGGTCCTAGATTCTTTCTTTCGTTTTTATTGCATTCTTCTAGATTTTTCCAAATGAGAAAACCAAACTCCAACTAGGCTATAAATTTTTGACCAGGATACGAAGCGGTGATTTGTTGAGGAAGGATTGTGAATCAGAACCCAGTTACTTCTGCATACGCAACCCTTCATAGATCACAAGAGATCAACTCTCACTTATCACTAAAGAATTCTTTCTACTCTCGTTTCAGTAGTTTTAATCAATAACAAGAAGAGTTACCCTCACTATGTAATTTGGCAACTAACTACGTAGAAGAAGTAAAAATAGAACAGCTAGGATTCTGCTGGTTGTGGTCGAGCCATTGGAAAATGAGAGGAAGCATCGTTGCAAGAAAAATTGATACCGAGATTTTGCTTACACAAGAATAGAAATATTAAAAATCAGAGGGAGACAAGTAGTCCTGTCTCTTGTATTTGAGCCATTGATCTCACCTGCTTTCTTACCCTATCTTAATTCCACCAGATCATGTTGGCAACCACCTCCTCTGCCTTGAATAATCAAAACGCACGATCAAACCCATGCATTAAGGGCAACTAAGCGGACTCAACCAAAACCAAAAACCAACATCAGCATCCATTGACTTTGCAGGTCTCTCATGGTTGGTCATCGTGCAAGAACCCTTTTGTTGGACCTCCATCTAGGCTTCATCCTCTCTATCTTCTGATAGGTCCATCGTCAATAAAAGACGAAAAGATGTACCGTTTCTTTTGACTTTTTAAAAGCCTAAGATCTATTAACCACAACATGGTAGTGCATTGGTGTGCAAAAGTTGATTTATAAATTAAGTTTAGGTTCGATTTTTTTGGTCAGTTGATGCGGATCAATAAATACTAGAATTTATAGAACATTATATGTGCTATCGTAAAACCTAAAATTGTCAATAAATCTATCGGTTTAATTTTGATTTTTTTTTAATTCGATGTAAAATGATCAAATGAGTCAAAAAAGATTATTTAGGCCTTTAAAATAGATTTTTATTTTTATTTTTAGGTTTTTTTCTTAATTTTTTGATTTTTGCATTTGTTTTTCTTTTTGAGTTAGTGCTTAATACAACAATTTTCTTTGGTTAATAAAATTTTATGAGAAAGTATCTCAATTTATTCCAACTTTCGATATTTTTTAAATCAACATAACTTGAAACCTATTTCTTAATATTTATATGTAATTCAATATATTACAGTAGATTGATATCTCTAAAATTCGTATTTGAATTAATAAATTAATAGTGTTTATTCTTTTTCGTAAACTTTCGCTATGTCGGTACTATTGAAATTTTATTTTTAAAATATTCGAAATCATATGTTAAAAAATATACCTTAAGGAATTCTACAGAAAAATTAATCTCAAAATACGCACAACCTGACAAAACACCTTTACTATTGAAAAAATAAAAAAAAAAGCCTAAGATCCATTGATCCAGCCTAATTTTTCTTCTCAGCAACGCCATGCTTCAGCATTTCTTATCCGTGCACTAAAATAACCATTAACCAGTACGTTGCCAACAGCTTAACAATAATGTCTCTTTGACAGTTCACACAGGGAAGCTGTAGTAGTTACCAAGGACTGGCTAATCACTTGGTTAATCATACAAATTAAAGAGTCAACGAGTTTATCTAAGCTAGGAAGGGGATTTAGTCACAAGGACCGGTGGCCTGTCTCCTCCCATCCAAGTTATAATTGACACATTGGCTTGTCCTTTCCTTTCATTACATTTCCATGCATTTTCTCTTACTTCATGTCTTTCAGGTTATCTCTCCATTAGACAGCCTCAAACCCTCTTCTCTTCTTCTATACATTGCTTATAAAAAACCTGACTCTTTCTTATAAATCTTTTGTCTAACATAAACAAAAATCTTTCTTGGGTTCGCAAGATCTCAGCTTTTTGTGATTCATTATAGTGAGAGGAAGTTACTAATAATTTTTCATTTTCAGTTATACTTGAAGCTGATCTCATACAAGGACTATAATGTAAGCTTTTTTATGACCAAAAATGCTTACTTTTTAATTATTTTTTTCCCTTTCCTTAATCTCTTCTTGTTTGGGTTTTGGAAAATTCATTTACTCTTAATCCTGTAATCAAGTGCATGGTTTGATTCTGGGTTTTCGAGATCATATCAAAAGTTCGTTATTTTGGGTGTTTTCTTATTCATAAGCTTGTTTTATTTATTTCAGTTTTGCATGATTTTGTCACTCCCTTAATTGGGTTACTCGTGTTGTTTGAGGCAACTTGTTTATTTGGTTTCGCTTAAGTTTGATATATATTTTTATTGTTAGATTGCTTTGAAGTGAAAATCGATTTAATATTTATGCTAAATTGGGTTTTTCTTATTATTTTGCAGTTATAATTTGGATACGATGGAAGGTGATCCATCTAGCAAGACGAGGTGTGGTGATATCCCATCATCACCTGTTCCAAACAGCACACATTCGCAATTCGCGGAAGATTTTAGCTCCTACGAGGATGCTTGTAAGCAAGATCCATGCTTGCAATCCTTCGATGCCAGCCTCCAGGAAAAGACTAACAAAGTCATAAACTCACTTGGCACTGCTAATCTTCACCTGGGATCATTAAGCTCTTTTAAAGTGGTCACAAATTGCCTACTTGAAGTGAACCAAGATGTGGTTAAATTCATACTAGAAAGCAAAGAAGATATCTGGAATAATCCAGAACTGTTTGCTTTGGTTGATGAATACTTCAAGAGTAGTATCGAAACTATGGAGTTTTGCACTGAACTAGAAAGTTGTGTTACAAACGCTCGAACTAGCCAGATGATTATAAGGGCTGCCATTGATCATTTTGAGAAGGAAGTTGAATTGCAAGAAGGAGTGAGTGAGAAGAAGTGCGTAAAGACATTAGAAGAACTACAGAAGTTTATGGTATCAGGGAATCCATTTACCCCGAACTTCTTTTTGCTGTTTCAATCTGTGTATGAGCAACAGGTCTCCATGTTGAAGAAATTGCAATTTCATAAGAGGAAGCTTGATAAGAAACTGAAATCCATGACGGTATGGAGGAGAGTTTCGAATGTTTTGTTTGCATCTCTTTTTGTCACCGTGATGATTTTCGCGGTGGTAGGAGCTGCGATTACTGCTCCACCTGTTGTAACTGCTTTGACCGCCGCGCTGGCCGATCCAATGGCCTCCGTGGGAAGATGGTGTAACTTGCTTTGGCGTCGGTACGAGAATGCATTGAAGGCGCAGAAGGTGTTGGTGAACGCATTTCAGGTTGGAACTTTCATTACAATCAAGGACATGGAGAGTATACGGATCCTTGTCAGCAAATTGGAAATGGAAATCAAGTCCCTTTTGCAAAATGCTGACTTTGCTATCAGAGAAGAAGATGTCGTGAAACTCGCAATAGATGAGATCAAGAAGAAGATGGCGGTGTTCATGGAAACCTTAGAGGATGTAGCTGCCCATGCTCATAGGTGTAGCCGTGACATCTTGGTAGGAAGGATTATGATTTCCCAGAGGATAATCGAACTAGCTGACCAGTGAAGAATTCCTTCGGTATTTATTCTAATGACTTCCCAACTTGCTTATCCTATATATATAGATTTCATTCATCAGACAAAGTAACATTAACAACTTGGGTTGATTGATTTGGATTCGGCCTAGGAAACTGTAATTTTGAGCAGAAAATGATTCACAGACCAAAAAAATCATGCAAACTGACATGATGAATGGTGATCCGTGGGTCTTAAAAACATTAAATGATTAATCGATGATGAAAAAAAACCGTCACATCGGTTTGTATGAAATGTTTGGATAGTATGCTTCTTTCTACAGGATTTGTGTACTTTTCTCAATAGTTTGCAGACCTTTCAGGGGCTCCTTCTTGACCCCATGCTGGATATGTATAGCACCTTATATTGCAGCTTCTCATTCGTATCAGTCTCGCTCCATAACTTAACAGTCGTGAAAGTCCGTCTATTTTTGTTTCTGAGCGGTAAATCTTACACAGCGTTCTTTTGGCTAATAAGTTATATGCTTCGTTGTGTAGGATTGTTGCAGAAGTAACTAGCGCTAGATATTCTGATGTTATGCAATTGTTTGTCAAATCATCGTTTATGACATTCATGAACTCTGTTGTATACTGTAATAACTTCTTTACTTTATTTCGAGCTAATGAAGTACGTAAAAGATAAAGAAGAAAAATGTATTATAATTTGATGTTAAATTGTTTATTGAGGCTCATCGATAATTTACCTAGCTAAAGTTAAAAGAGCACATCGAACAAGATTGGCTTGATTGGAAGATTGGCTTGTAGCTTAAATAATTGGTATCAAGTTCGAATCCTTTTATATATAAAAAATTTATTGAGTAGTTGTCTTTACGTTATACGATCGATAAAAAGTGAAGGATTAATATGAATCTTTAAACTTAGAATAACTTTAGAATAACTTTGAAAGATTAAAAAAAGAGCATGAAGCCCATATGGAGTTCCAAGAACTGGGTTCTTGTACAGTCCACCAAAATGCTCTAATTAATTGATTCCAATCCATACCTCCTCCGCCGATATTTCCACTACAATGGCAAGATTTTCTACCGAAATCTAATTTATTATTTTGAGTTATTCAATTATGCAAAGCAGCTGCAACATTAAAGGGTTGTGATTTTTTAATTTTTCAAATATAAATTTAGTTGGACATTTCAAATGGGATTAATGATTTGTAATCAAAGAGTTTGTAAACTAACGGTAATGTGATCTTTTGTAATAAGAGATCACGAGTTTAAATTCTAACAAAATAATTCTGATAAGAACCTTCAATATATGAGTTAACGAATTTGGGTCATTCTGTCAATTTAAGGGATATGTGGGATTTTTCCCATAATAGTGTACGTATATTAAATTGAATTAGATCATTCTACCAATTTAATATTATATTAAATCTTTCTACATCATCAATTAGTTCCTGCCTCCTTCTGGCCCTTTTTTTGGAAAAAAACCTTCTTACAGTCGGGCCGTCGGCCCATCTGAGACATTGAAGCAGCCTATTTTGACTCCTGAAGTTTTTGTTTCTCTGGACCAGATTCAGCCTACTCATCTGGCCCATATTAACAAAACCGCCTCTCTTAAATCCGCGCGCTTCTTCTCTCCCAGCGACCAAATTTCCTGTGCAGAGAGTTTGGGTGTTTAGATCCTTAAATCATCGTAGATATTTATGTTTCCATTAAAAACTCTCAAGAGATTTCTCACAAAACATTTGTTGTCTCAATCTATCAACAAAATTGTTCCTTCTTATTTCAAGATTTCCATAAAATGCCTTCAGCAATCCAAACCCCAAAATTTCACCAAATACTTGACCAGAAAATCAAGAAACACAAAACCCAAATCACCATCATCAAATGTAACAGAACCCCAAAAAAATTACATGAGAAGCATTATCTCAAACATATACAAAATCTTGAAATACTCAACATGGGACTCGGCACAAGAAGAGCTAACGAAACTAAATATCAAATGGGATTCTTTTACAGTCAATCAAGTACTTAAAACTCATCCACCTATGGAAAAGGCTTGGCTTTTTTTCAACTGGGCTTCAAAGTTGAAAGGGTTTAAACATGACCAGTTTACTTACACAACTATGCTTGATATTTTTGGAGAAGCTGGAAGGATTGAGTCAATGAAGTATGTGTTCAAGAAAATGCAAGAAATGGGGTTAAAGATTGATGTTGTTACATATACTTCAATCTTGAATTGGGTTTCAAAGTCTGGTGATGTTGATGGAGCAGTGGAAATTTGGAAAGTAATGAGAGGAAATAGTTGTTTTCCTACTGTTGTTTCCTACACAGCTTATATGAAGGTCTTGTTTGATAATAAGAGAGTGAAAGAGGGTATTGATGTGTATAAGGAGATGCTTGAATCTGGGATTTCTCCAAATTGTCATACATATACTGTTTTAATGGAGCATCTTGTTGTTTCTGGTAAGTGAGTTTTAGTTGTGCCCTCTGTGTTTGTTGTTTTGTCTATGTGAGTGTGTTTTTTTTGTGGTTGGTGGGTGTGATAATATGAAGGCTTCGTTAGATGAGAATTTTGGACTCTAGTTTTGTCAATAATGAAGTTTTCTGCAAATATTAGGATAATTTTGTTGAAAATGATTATTTCGCTTTGGAGCCTTATAACTTGCTGCATTTGATGACGGAACAATAATCCTGTCCTAGCAAGAGCTTGAATAAGCTTGACAGAAGTTCTGGAAAATTTTGGTATGGCTAAACATTATACAGAATCACCCTTTGAACTAGTGCTTTTTGGAAATGATCCCTCAAGTTCTAGACAATTGATTTTGCCTCCTGAACAAATATTTCAGTTAATTCACATCTATGAACCAATGGTAAAAGCTAATGTGGGTGATTTATGGCACGCCCTTGTCAGCCACATCAAACGTGATTACCAAAAGAAAATTTGTCGGGGTAAAAATATGGGATTTCTGTTCAGGACCAATTCAAATAATTTTAGCTTAGCATTTTGTTACTGTTGCTTTAAACATGCGACTTCTGCCATGTATTGCCTTTCCAGTATTGGGCTATATATTGCTGGAGTATTGTAATTTTTATGAACTTATTTCCCTTTTTGTGCTGGGTTCCAGGAAAATACCAAGAAGCCCTTGAGATTTTTAGCAAAATGCAAGTAGTGGTACAACCTGATAAAGCTGCATGCAATATTTTGGTTGAGAGATGTTGCAAAGCAGGGGAGACAACGACAATGACCCCCATTCTTCAGTATATGAAGCAAAATCATCTTGTTCTTCGTTACCCTATATTTATGGAAGCTCTCAGAACTCTAAAAGTTGCTGGTGAGAGTGATATTCTCCTCAGGCAAGTTAATCCTCATATTGATACGGAATCAATTGGTAATGTGAATACCTTTGAGACTATGACAAATGTTGCTGATGAGGCTTTAGATAAAGGGCTTGTGCTGATGCTCTTGAGAAAGCAAAATCTCGGAGCTGCTGACCATTTGCTTGCTGCTATAATGGATAAGAATATACTATTGGATTCTTGGATTGTTGCAAACATAATTGAAGTAAACTGTGATAGCTGCAGACCTGATGGTGCTTTGTTGGCCTTTGAATACAGCATACAAATGGGTATACAACTTGAGAGAACATCGTATCTTGCTTTGATAGGCATGTTGATAAGATCAGAGACATTTCCGAAGGTGGTGGACATTGTTGAAAAAATGGCTCTGGCTGGGCATTCTCTTGGAGTGTATCTATCTGCACTCTTAATTTATAGGCTTGGGCGTGCTAGAAGGCCTTCTTGTGCTATACAGATTTTTGATTTATTGCCTGAAGACCAGAAGTGCACTGCTACTTATACTGCTTTGGTGAGTGTATATTTCTCTGCTGGTAGTCCAGAACAAGCACTTCAGACTTATGAAAACATGAAAAGGGAAGGGATTCATCCCTCTCTAGGTACTTACAATGTTCTATTAGCTGGTCTAGAAAAAAGTGGCAGAATTAGTGAAGCAGAAACATATAGGAAGGGAAAGAAGGGACTGATGATTAATAATTATTGTCAGAATAGTGTCCCTATGGGGCAAAAGATCTGTAACCTTCTGTTTGCCAGCCATTTGGTATCTTGAAACTGTTTCGGATGATAAGCATTCTCAAATGGCATTGCAAAGAAAAGATATAATGCAGCATGCCCAAGTAGTTTGTATGGAGAGCTGACAGCACATGTATATGCATAGGGGAGTAACAGAGAGTTGCGGCTGTTCTCAGCTCTAGAATGCAGAGTTGCCACTTGGATAGGGTTCTCATTTTTGGCACGCTTTTATTAAGAGTTCCTTTATCAACTGCAAAAGCACAGACAAGACAGATCTATGATTTCTGATGTTCTCCAAGTTCTTCTTTGATTCTACGATAGGATGAACTGATGATATTTCCCCTTTGTCCTGGTGCATCTATCCTGAAACAACTTTTCCTGATGTTCTCCAAGTTCTTTATCCATTGATGATACGGTGAACTCATAATCCCTCCCCTTCGTACTGGTGATATTAATGTTGATCCGTGACCAATGTGCTGATGGTGCTTCAATGCTTTAACAACCTAGTCGTGCATTGTGGTGGACCTGGTGGTATGTTTTGGCTTTAGATCCAGAGCACGTCTAATTGGATTCGTTATCTCCCCCAGTGAGTATACTTTAGGAATCTGGATTGCACATTTCTAATCTTTTGTAGAACATTCTAGGATTATGGAAATATGTGTATAATGCTTACCATTGCATGATGAATTTATTTCATTTTGGGATAGTTGACCTTCGTCCTGACTAGACATTAAGATACATGGTGTTTGTATTACAGAAAATTTACAAATTTACTGTCTTTGCTTGTTCCTTGAGAGTTTCCTCGGATTATTTCCTTTTGAGAAATTTTTGATGAACGAACCAGGTGTAGATCTGTGGTTGTAAAGGACTGTTATCATGGAAGGAGCCAGGAAATTTTCATCACAGAACATTTTAGATTCAGAGTGAACATGTTCGGATGTTCCTTGTCTTGTTTGTTCAGTTATGGATGGCATTGATTAAGTAGACAATTGAAGGAATTCTATGCTATAAAATTGTTTATACGAAGGGGATAAGATTATCGGCAGGACAAAGCACTTTGAGGGCACCCAAGAAAGCGCTTTTGGTCCTTTATTGTGGGTGCAATAGGCATCTATTGTCTGGAGAGCGTGTTCTTGTTTTAAGATACCTACTTGAATATTTATATTTATTTACTGATGATTTTACCTGTTAAAAACAAGATTAGCATTCAGTGAATGCTTGAACCGGTCCATGGCTAATTAATGTTGTTGAATCTAAAATAAAATTTCCCATTTTGATTTTACTTCTGTTCCTTCAGGTTTCTGTCCGTGGAACATTGCTGACTCAGTGCAGCCTATGATACAACTCCCTTGACCATTTCCTCTCTACCTGTTTTGTTTTCAAATATTGCTTAATCGAAAAGCAAAAATTGATATAAAACTATAAACATAGAGAGATAGATCTGTCAACAAATGACCCCTTCTCTCCCACAATTAATTAAACAACCTGCTGCTAACTCATAGATTCTGTTGATGTTGTCCTAATCCATTTTGTGATGGAACCCATTAAAATATAGGTTTAGTCTTCAAATAGTAAGTAGCTGATGTGGTGGCTGCTGAGGGAATTCTGGGTCTTCAAATTAAGGTCCAAGCATATCTTGTAAACATGTCATACGCAGTGTGGTTGGTGCTCTTCCTCACATGGGTTTAATTAACAAATTTGTATAAAGAAAATGCTGGAATCTTATCTGTGATGCCATCACTCACCCTAATTAGTGTACTAATAAAATAAGTATTCTTAATCATAATTTTAAAAAACGATCGTTACGTTATATATAGATTTCGAAAAAATATCAATATTATTATTTTAATATTATGATAAATAACGATTTGCGATGATTATCTTTATTATTCATCTTTATTATTTTTTGAATCGTTCACGTCTTAATAATTATTGTAATCGAAGTGTCTTGCCTCCGACCTCAAGGGACGCATTTTAAGCCAGCTCAAGGGCATGATTTGCTGAGTCAGTACCGTACAATTTTGACAAGGTCCTCGTGTCATGAATCATAAAATCCCTATTCGCATGCCCAAATATTTGGACGATGAATCCTAATGTTGCCAATCCACAGCGTGGACTACAGATTTTAACTAAGACATTTCTGGAACACTATGATGTGATTTCTTAGCTTGAAAAAAAAAATTGCGAACTGAGTCCAAGATCATAAACAATCTAGATAGACAGGCACTAAACGTGGTCAGCTTTTTAACCTTTTCTTGAATGACACAGCACCACTAGGAAGAGATATTGGTGCTTGCTTATGCTTAAAACACATGAGACAACTTATGTGACACTCGTTAATGAATTTATAATTGGACAATTTGTCATGTTGTAGTGTCTTTTCAACAAACAGGACAGAAGCTGCCATGAATTAATATTAAGCAAATTAGGAGAGACAATGTAGGTCGGGCTTAAGTACTAAATCTTGAATTGATCAAGCAAACGGTTTTCCATGAGATCCTGATCTTCGTATTATAATTGTCCATGAAATGGCTTCTAATTAGACTGATTGTGCAGTGGTTCCAATGTAATAGACATTGATTTGAAAGTAAATACCTACAAAACAAATTCTCCTCTAGTAGTTGGAGGATCCTCTAATAGTTAAGTTAGTTTATAAATAGAGATGTTTAGCCTAAAAAAATTGTAAATAGATTAGCTATTGTATATAGGTAATGATTGAAAATATACTTATTTTGATTTAAGAAGGCAGAATCTATAATCTTTGACTTGTTAGTAAGAAGATTATGACAAACTTGCATAGGGTGGAGGTAAAACGGTATTTTCCCTTACACTCAACAGTTCTTAACATCCATTCAAGGGTTCTCAATTAGGTGATAGTCGTTATCTGACGAAGCATGTCCAATCATAATTTTTGATAATGAGACATGTGTAATATAGAAAGTCACACCTTCATTAAATGAATGTTTTTTTTTATCTACCAAATGGATAGAAAGGCATTGTCTTTACTTGAGTTATTTGTCTATATTAATTTGATGGGCCTTGTCCGGCCATGGTGGTCACCGGCAGGTGGTCGGTATCATTCTATTCGAGGTGAGTTCTTGGCCGGATGGTCTTTGAGTGGAGCATGATGGTATGCGTCATGATTACAATCATATCGGTATATTAGTAGCCCTTCGAGTTTTTGGCAAGTGTAATTGGTGAAAACCCGATTTACGTTCGAGATCCTTAAGGAGATACTTGCCGATATCCAAGATAATTAAAAATTTTGTGCTTGTTATTTTTTTAGATTTGACCTTAGTTGATGTGTAGAAGGTTCATTTATTACTTGTAACTTCAATAAACGTACAATCTCATAAGGAAACCAAACACGCAACCATGAGAGCATGCGAAGAAAAGAGATTAGGCCTTTTGAAGTCTCCCACATTCATCAAATGACATCCACCTCAGTTACTCTATTTTTTGTGTTGTGGCAATATTTTGTTCTTTCATTTCTCTCCCCGTAGGAAATGATAAGATTTTTGTTATATAGTTTTAGAGAATGGTGATGTTTCTTTCTCCTGGCCTTTCTCTTATTGCATCTAACTCGTTTCTTCTACGATCGAGTGTCGAGTTGGTCGGTTTCAACGATAAGGGTCTACATGTAGCATAACTTGTAGAAAGTGTGAAGGTCTCCGGAAGTGGTTCACATAAGGGTGCTTGTCGTATTTGAGGTGTCAATAAAGAAGTGGCTAAATATTTTATTTGTTTATATGTCATTATACACGATTTCTTTAAGATTTTGACTTCTTGTTGTAGCTAAAGATCGTCAACTAGCAGAATGCTAAGACTCGGTAAAATCAAAAGGAATGGAGCACATTAGAGTTTTCTAATTATTAGTCGTGGATGAAAACTTAATAATGAAGATATGAAAAAGTTAGGGATTGGTATTTTGCTCGATCCCTATAGACGAGCATTGCTAACAAGATTGTGATTCTTGGATTATCATTATTAATGAGATGACTTCCAACTAGACTCGATTGTGTGATGGTTCTAACATAATGAATGTTGATTTGACGAGTGAGTACCTACTAAATAAATCCTTCTCTAATGATTGGAAGATCCTTCGATAGCTAAGTTAACTTACTAAGAGAAGTGTTTAGTTTGAGTAGACCATAAAGAAATTAGCTATTTTGAACCTAAAAATTGAAATATGTAACCTTTACCTTCTTTGTCTTTATACAAGAGAAGATGATAATCAACTTGCATGGAAAGGAGTACAATAATCTTTTCTTTTACATTCAATAATTCCCGACACTCAATCAATTGATACTCTAAAGCAATGGTTGTTGATTGTTTGAGGGAGAGTTTTGGTTGAATAGTCTTTAAATAGAGTATAACAATTCGTATCGTATCATGATTATGATCATGTGTGTGTACATATATATATCAATTTTTTTTAATCTTTCAATTCACCTTATACATGTCACCGTTTATTATTCAATGCTATACTAACAATAGCATATCAAGGACATTTAGTAACAAGAGACGAAATTAATTACTTATTCAAATTCAAATCGTGCTCTTGTTTCACCTTAAGAACATAAAAGGGGGACGTACAGAAACTCTTCAAACGAATATATAGTGTATAATGAGATACTTGTGATGAAAAACTAAAATTAGAAGATTAACACTGACATATAAACACGTCATTCCTACAATATATATATATATTTTTTAAAATAAAAGAATAAATAAACGAATAATTAAGTGAAAGCAATAGAAAATTTTGCGTGGCATCAGCAAGAGCCCACCTCACAATATGGGTAAGGCAATAATTCGTAAGAATAGATGCTGTTCAACCTAATTGATAATAAGAATTCGGAACGCGGAGAAGCTAATGCGATCAGATTGCAACTGCATGCATTTTCGGATGGATAAGGCAAATTCTCAATTATTATTGCCTACTTGCAATAGAACCTCGAAGTCAAATGGTTTGAAGTTCTTCTTCTTCCTCCCTTTTTCCCTAGTTACAAACAATTTCATCTTTGGGCTGCAATT